ACACACACACACACACACACACACACACACACACACACACACACACATATACTATCTCTTTTTGTGGTAGCAAAGAATAGGAAACTAAAGGGGTGCCCATCACTCAGAGAATGGCAGAACAAATCATGGTATGTTAATGTAATGGAACACTATTGAGCCATAAGAAATTATGAAAGAGAAGGGAAGACTTGTATAAACTTTTAAAAATTATTTAAATTTTTTTGTTCTATTTTTCCAATTATATGTAAAAATAATTTTTAGCATTCATTTTTTTAAATTTTGAGTTCCAAATTCTCTCCCTTTCCTTCCCACTCTTTGAAAAGGCAAACAATGCTGGGAAACAATTTTTATAGACACAGCAGTATCTCTTATAAAGGCCTCATTTCTAAAATACATAGAGAATTGAGTCAAATTTATATGAATACAAGTCATTCTCTAGTTGACAATAGGTCAAAGGATATGAACTGGCAGTTTTCAGACAAAGAAATTAAAGCTATCTATAGTCATATGAAAAAATGTTCTAAATCACTATTGATTAGAGAAATGCAAATTAAAACAACTCTGAGGTACCACCTCACACCTATCAGATTGTCAAATATGGCAAAAAAGGAAAATGAGAAATGTTGGAAATGTAGGAAAATTGGAACACTAATGCATTGTTGGCGGAGTTGTGAACTGATCCAACCATTTAGGAGAGCAATTTGGAACTATCCAGGGGTGGGCAACCTCTGAGAAGTTTGGATTCAGTCAAGGGGCTACACTTGAGGACCTAGAGGGCCACAGGTGGCTTCAATTATGAAGGTTCCCCACCCTGGAAAACCCAAAAGGCTATAAAACTCTGTGTACCCTTTGATCCAGTAATACCACTACTAGACTTTTATCCCAAAGAGATCACAAAAAAGGGAAAAGGACCCACATGTACAAAAATATTTATAGCAGCTCTATATGTGGTAGCAAAGAATTGGAAATTGAGGGGATGCCCATCAACTGAGGAATGGTTGAAGAAACTGTGGCATATGAATGCAATGGAATACTATTGTGCTATAAGAAATGATGAGCAAATGGACTTCAGAAAAACCTACATGAACTGATGCTGAGTGAAGTGAGCAGAACCAGAATATTGTACACAGTAACAGTTATGTTGTTCGAAGACTAACTTTGATAGACTTAGCCCTTCTCAGCAATGCAAGGATCTAATTCATCTCCAAAAGTCTCATGATAGAAAATGTTATCCACATCCAGAGAAAGAACTATGGAGTTTGAATGCAGATGGAAGCATACTATTTGCTTTTTTTTTCTTCTGTTTTGTTTTGTTTCTTCTTCTTTGTGGTTCCTCTTATGGGTTCTAATTCTTTACAACATGACTAAAGTGAAAATGTGTTTAATAGGAATGTTCACGTACAGCTTATATCAGATTCCACGCAGTCTTGGGGAGGGAGGTGAGGAGGGAGAGGGAGAAAATTTAAAATTCTAAAGCTTTTGGAAGTGATTGTTGAAAACTAAAAATAAATTAATTTTTTTTAAAAAAGTGAACGTTGAAAATTCTCTTTACGTGTAATTGGAAAAAATAAACTATTATTAAGTGGGGGGGGGAGAAAAAGAAAACAAGAAAAGGCATGCAGTTTGATAGAGCGTGTGTAAGACTTGTGTAAAGTAGGCCAGCTAGGTGGCACAGTGGGTAGAGCACCGGCCCTGGGGTCGGAGGACCTGAGTTCAAATATGATACTCATTAGCTGCGTGATCCTGGGCACGTCACTTAACCCCGACTACCTCAAAAAAAAAAGAAGAAAGAAAGACTTGTGTAAAGTTATACACAGTGAAATAAATAAAGCCAGGAGACCATTTTATACAATAATAACACTGTGAAGACAAACAACTTGGAAAGACTTTAGAACTCTGATCGAGGCGTTAGAGGCAGCTAGGTGGTGCAGCGGATAGCTAGACCTGAGTTCAAATGCTGTCTCCACTGTAAAATTGAGACAATAAAAACTCCCACTTCCCAGGATTGTTGTGAAGATAAAATGAGTTATTATTTGTAAGTTGTAAATCACTAAGTGAATGCCAGTTATCATTATTTCAATGCAATAACCAAGCATCATCCCAGAGAAGGAAGCACGCAGACACACAGCGAGGCGATGGATCCAGAAGCAGGCTCCCCAGCCAGCGGTGGACGGAGGACGGCGGAACTGCTTTTCGCCGGACCCTTGGTGCGCGGCAGCCGCTTCCGGGGGGAAGGCCTTCCCCGGAGGACGCGGCGAGTCCCGTGACGCGGCGGGCGAGGCGGAAGTGCCGGGAACGGAAGCGGAGCGGCGCCGAGGCCGAGCCGGACCGGGCCGAGATGGCGGCGGCGGTGGCGTCTGGGACGACGGTGTGGAGCGGCTTCCTGCGGCTCTGCTTCGTGTTCGGTCTGTCCTTTCTGGCGCTCACCGGGCTGCTGCTGGTGCAGCTGGCCAACGCGGCCAAGGTGAGGGGCCGGTGGGGCCGGGGGCGGGGCCTCCGAGGGGGAGGGGAGGGACGGCCCCGCCCCCCCAGGCCTGGCCCTGCGCCCCCACCCCCGTCCCCCGGGCCTGGCCGCCGCCCCTGGACACCTCTATGAGGGAGGGGTCTTACCGGGCCGCTGGGCTGAGGGGGGGTTGACAAGGACCTGATGTGGGCTCAGAACCCCCCCACCCCCGCCCCCCGGGCCTGACCCTGCGCCCCCAACCCTGCCCCTGACCCTGCGGCCCCCCCCCAGGCCTGGCCGCCGCCCCCGGACACCTCTATGAGGGAGGGGTCTTACCAGGCCTCTAGGCTGGGGGGTGCCTGACAAGGACCTGATGGGGGCTCAGAACCTCCCCACCCCTATCTCAGATCGTTCAGAGGAAAGTAATGGTGGTCCTCGGAGCATCCTTTCAACTTTTCCACCGAGGAGGAGACTGAGGCAGAGAGGGGTTAAGTGACCTGGGGTTGTGGATAAGCAGCTGGATTTGGAGCCGAGTTCGAATTCTGCCTCCGCACTTCCTACTACGAGGAAGCCTGGGTCCTTCTGTCAGTTATTTCCTGTTTATCCTGTCATTTTTGTTCGCTGGTTGGCTCCCTCGTTAAATTTTAAGCTCCTTGAGGGCAGCAGCACAGCCCTTGGCACACAGTGGGCTCTTAGTAAATGTTGGTTGCTTGATTGTTACTAGGTGCAGGACTCTGAGCGAGTCACTTAACTGTTCTTTGCCTCCACTTGCCTCCTCTGTAAAATGGTATCAAATGAGATATTTGTAAAACGTTTTGCAGACCTTGAAACAATGTAGAAATGCTAGCTGTTTATTGTCATTATCGTTTTATTGTTGTTATTGTCACTCCTTAGTATCATTACTCAGGATCACACTAGTGGAACTTCAGTGTTCCTTGTAGCAGATACATTTGATCAGTCAGTCAACAAGTCAAGCTTTCTATGTGCCAGGAACTGTGCTAGCGCTCTCTCCACTCTATTCCTGAAACTTCTGGTCCTTACAAGACACATCCCAGACCCCTTCACCCCATCCCCACCCCATACCAGGTCCTGATGAAAGCCAGCTCTGAAACCTTTGGTCCTGGCCAGATTCCCACCCACCTCCCCTGCCACTCCCCCCAAAAAAAGCCAGGTCCTCGACAGGCTGCCCCTCCTATTTTCAAACCTAACAAGGAGCCCTTTTCTTCATTCCCAACACTGACAGGAATCACTCCCCCCCCCCATTTCCACAATTCTAAACTGACAAGAGCCCCAGAAATCCTTAGTCCTGACAGAGAGCTTCCCCTTGAAACCTCTAGCCCTGGCAACAAATACCAAATCCTGATAGGATCCACCCCCTAACTCCAATAGAAGTCCTGTAATCCCTAGACTTGTTGGGAGCTCTCTGAAAATCACTGATCCTGATAAGAGCCCTTCCCTTAACATATTCTGAAACATCCCTTCCTTTGACCCAACACTATAATCCCTAGTCCTAAAAAGAAACTTCACCCCCACCCCAAACAGACAGACATCCACCTGTGATCTCGACAAAACATTCTCCTTTGAATACCAAGTCCCTTAAAACTTCCTGGCCCTTATGGAATTCCTGTAATCCTTAGTTCTGCTAGTGTTCTATCCCACCCACTCCCATTTTCAAATGCCAGATCCCTCAGCTTCCCACTACTCCATCCCAGGAGTAGCCCTACCACCTGGCAAACACTAGGCCTTAGAGAGACTCCCTGTAATATCTAGTCCTGACAAGAGACTTTCCCCTGAAACCTCTAGTCCTAATAAAGCGCTGCTCCAAGTATCAGGTCTTGGTATTTCTGCCATCCCCTCCAACACTTAAGCCCTGGCAACATTTTTCTTACGGCTCCTCCACTTGCCCCCAACCTCATAGTAAAGCTCTTTAATCTCTATTCCTCACAGAAAGTTGTACCCCGAAACTTCAGACAAGATTCCTACTTGCCCAAGCATTCAGGTCTTTACAGGAATCTTTTTCCTAAAAACACTGGGACCTGACAAGAGCCCTCTCCTAAACCTTTTGGCCCTGACAGAAACTTCCCAAACACCAGGTCTTGATAAAAACCTTCCCCCTATATTATGTTGTGGCAGGGAGTCTCCTATAATCCTTTATCCTGGTGGGACACCCTCCAAGAAACTGACTGGTAACCAAACCTTGGGCTCTGGTGTGGGGATCCAAAATCCCTATTTTCTACAGGAGTCGTTTAAGGTCTCAGTCTTGACAGGAGGCTTTCACTCCCACACTCACTTTGTCCCTCTTACAGCTGGACAGAACCCCCTTTCACAATGACTTGGTCTGACTGGATCATTTTGTAATCCCTAGTCCTGAAACCCCTGAAACATGTGATCCTGATAACCCTACCCAAATACCAGGTCCTGATAGGGACCTTACCCTTCCAGACATAGGTGCCTGACAGGAGTCTACCCCCTAAACTTCCTGGGCCTGACCGATTTCTCCCTTTGTCCCCCCACCTGGAGGTGGTGGTGAATATATGTGTGTGTGTATGTATGTATGTATGTATGTGTGTATAGATAGGCCCTGACAATCTTCTCCCTGCCATTATCAGGCCCTGATAGGGAGTCTTCTGTAATTCTTAGTCTTTTTTTTGGCTTTTTGGTGAGGCAATTGGGGTTAAGTGACTTGCCCGGGGTCACACAACTGGTACTTGTCAAGGGTCTGAGGTTGGATTTAAACTCAGGTCCTTCTGACTTCAAGGCTGGAGCTCTATCCACTGCGCCACCTAGCTGCCCCTTGTATTTCTTAGTTTTGATAGCTTGCCTCCCCCCCCCCAATAAAAAGCCTTGACCGTGACAAAGAGCCCCCGTATCCTGACTTCCTTCGGGCCATCTTTACAGGACCACCCACCCACCCAAAATAATAGCTTTAAGCTCTGGCAAAACCTTCCCTACATCCATACCCTCCCCTCCCACCCCCATAATAAGCTTTGCGTGGACATGAAAAATATTAGGTCCTGATGGAACTTTGTACTTGCACAGGAGAACAGAAACCCCTCCAACAACCCTTTGGCTGTTACAGAAGCACAACATCAACACCCCCCTTCAGTTCCCCCCACCCCACCCCCATTGGCCCTAATGAGACCCTTTAAACACTGAGCTCTCTCTGTAGACTCTCTGATTGGATTCCTTCCCCACATCTAAATACAGTCCTGTCAGGGAGCCCTCCTGACCGGGCGTGATATTTGTAAACCGTTTTGAAACAATGTAGAAATGCTAGCTGTTTATTATCATTATCGTTTTATTGTTGTAATTGTCACTCCTTAGTATCATTACTCAGGATCACACTAATGTAACTTCAGCGTTCCTTGTAACAGATCCTCAAACTTCTTCCTTAACTTGATTCCAGAAAACACTAGGTCTTTAATAGGGCCCTACCTTGGATACCTATTATTCTGATAATAATAATTAAAAAAAAAAAAAACCCAGACAACATTGACAGTAAGTCCCTTAGAATTCCTGGTCCTGATTGAATGATTCCCACCTCCCCCTCCAGGAAAAAACCCTGGTCCTGATGAGATGACCAATAGACCCAGCCCCCCTCCTCCCATCCTTACACACTTAAATTTGGGGAAGTTGAGACCCCTTCAGACTGGTCCAAAATACCCAATGCTGACAGGAGGAACCTCCCCCCAAATACCTAGGCCTGACAGTTGGGATTCCTCCCACACCTTAGAATTTGATCCTGATTAGACCCTCCCCATACCTTAAAACCCTGTCCCTGAAAGGGGTCTTTCCACATACCTTGAGCTCTGATAGGAGGCCCTAGATGTACATTCCTTTTAGACTCCTCCATCAAACCCCTGATCCTTATAAGCCCCTTCCAGACAAAATCCTAGTAAGAACTTTCCTTCCCCCAATCCCAAGGTCTGAGAGGACTCCACGTCATAAAGTATAAACTCTGACAGGATCCCCAGACCTCCTGCTCTTCATAAATAATGTTTCTTTTTAATACCAGGCCCACTCCCTATCCTCAGTTTCCCTCAAAACACTCCCCCCACCCTTCCTCTCTTCCTTTTCCCCTTGCCACCAAACTCCTTAGTCCTGATGGGAAGGTTTTATAGAATCACAAAATTTTAGAATTGTAAGAGATCTTAGCCATATAGCCTAGTTCCTACTCGAATGTACCCAGCAAGAGGTCATCCATCCTCTGCCCAAAAACCAAAAAAACTGGGAACCCACCTCCTCCTAGGCAGCCCATTTCTACCTTTGGACAGCTCCTCCCAAAAAAATCTCTTTCTCTGGCAGAAGTCCCTCTTCCCTCCCAGAAAACCTAAGCCCCGAAAGAGGTGACTCTACCAAAGACCATGCTCCCTAGGGAAATCTGTCCACCAGTACCTGGTCCTGACCAAAGCCCTTCTCTCTGCTTCCACAGGACCTCCTACTTCTTCTGACATTCACAGCTTACGTTTCTATTATTACTTTAAATTTCTGCTTTCTTCACAACAATGTTGTGAGACAGATAAACCAAATATCATTCCCATTTTATATATTAGGAAGCTGAGGGTCAGAGAAATCATATGATTTTCTCACAGGTTAACTTTTCAAACATTCATTAGCGCCCATTCTTTGCCAGATACTTAGTGAAGGTGCAAAGACAAAACCAAAACAAGTCCTGTCACACACACACCCCTATATACACATAAATATGTAAACACAAGAGAATTTTTTTTCAAATCAACAAGAGTTTCTTAAGCACCTGTTATGTGCCTAGCACTGTGCTAGAGATAGAAAGAAAGGTGAAAAATAGTCCCTGCCCTCCAGGAGCTCACAGTCACATGAGGGACACAACATTCAAACACTCTCTACAAGTGAGATTATTATAGGATAAATTCAAGATAATGTCAGAGGGCAGATTAAGAAAGTTGAATTGTCCATAATTTATGTGCTTCCCAGACTTGCTGTTTGTGTGATCATCTTAGTCTGTTTCCTTCTCTGTGAAATGGGATGGTAATAAACATAGTATCTACCTCTCCGATGGTTGTGAGGATTAGAGGAGATAAATTGTATAAAGGGCTTAACACAAAAGAATTTAAGGAGGCTTCTAGCACTAACAGTTGGGGAGAAATGAGTAAGACTTCCACGGCAGGTAGCACTTGATTGGAACCTGGTAGAAAGCGAAAGATCCTAAAATTCAGAAGCAAAGAGGCTATGCATTTCCTGGCATGGGGAACACCTGTGCACAGGTGCTAGTACGTGAGTGTGACTGGAATGTAGAATGTATGAAAGAAAGGTACTGTGAGAGAAAGCAGGAAAGGCAAGTCGAAGCACACATAATGAGATGTTTATGTTTAAACCTGGAGGAATAGGAAGTTACTGAAGGTTCTTGAGTGAGAGAGTGAGGTGATCACACTTCTTTTAGCCCAGGTGAGAGGTGAAGTCGTGGCCAAAACCAGGATAGTGGCTGTGTACCAGATGTAAGATGGATGGAGGTAAAATCTATGGGACTTGGAAAGGTATTCTTTATAGGGGATGAGGGTGAGGGTGAGGGAGAGGAAGAGTCAAGGAAAGGCATGTTAGAACAGAGACTTGAAAGCAAGTCTTCTACAATCAATCAGTAAGCATTTATTAAGTGCCAACTATGTGCCAGGCCCTGTGTGCTGGGGTTACAAAAACAAAGAATGAGATAGTCTCTCTTCCCAAGGAACTTATATTCTAATGGAGGAAACAGCAAGTAAATATACAGGATGTCCCAAAAGTCTTGTTGCAGTTTTGCATTTTAGTAGCTTAAAATTGCCTTCGGGCAATAGGGGATAAATACAAAGAACAAATACAAGGTAATTTGGGAAGGAAGGAACTCGCAATTGAGGGGATCAGGATGAGGCTTCCTGGAGAAAGTGGTACTTGAATTGTGTCTTAAAGGAAGAGAGGGATTCTGTGAAGTGGGGGGAGGAGGGAGTCCATCCCCACCATATGGCAGGTGCAAAGGTACCAGGATACTGGTATGTTGTGTGAGGAAGAGAGAAGACCAGTTTGACTGGGTTGCGGAGTGCTAGAGAGGGAATTGATCGAAGTTGATTTTAGGGTTTTTTCTACTCTACCACACTGCCTCTTGTTACACCCCTTTGGACCTCTGGAAGAATGACCTCCATTCCCTGTTTCTCACATCTCAGGGCCTCCTCCCTCCCCAACCTCCAATCCAAGACATTCTGACCTCTCCAGTGCTCTTAGTCTAAAATTTTCTCCTTCTCCTTCTGTGGTTGAATATGTGGTTATCCCAAGTTGTACAATACTCTGCTTTTTTCATTTTCTGGTATTTCTCTTTCCCTCTGTCAATGCCCTCTCCGTCCTCAGATTATTTACTTGCTGAGGCAGCCCGTTCTATGGTTGGACAGTTCTAATTGTGAGGAAGGCCTTCCTTATGTGGAGCTTATAGTCTTCCACCCTTGCTCTGCCCTCTTGAGCTAAGCCGAATAATTCCTCTTCCACACAACAGCATTGAAGATATTTGGAGATTGCCTTTCCAGTCTCCTAATCAACTGTAGTTTACTTCTTGATCATCTTTCTTTTGCCAGAATTTTGACCCTAATCCTAAGAGAGTTTCCCTGACCTCCAGTCTCTGCGTCCGATATCCTCGTCCTTACACCAAATGTGGGTATGCTGGGGAGAACTCTGATTCCTTGGGCATATAGGATTTTTATCTGTATTATTCCTTTCCTGCTTGTGTATGGTATCCTTATTCACCAACATAGTTTTATTAGGCTTTCTGCTGACCTTGATGAAACAAGGAATTCACAATAAATTGGCTATAATGTGATCCGTAAAAATGGTTAAAGATTTATAGACGCCAGATGTTTTGTAATAGCAATTGTATTATTGTAAAAAGAGAAAAGTATCTTTTGTGTAATGCTTAGGTGACAACTCAAATTAAGCTCACTAGAAAAGAATTGTACTTAAAAAAAAAGACTCATAATTAGAGTTTTAAGATTATGGAATACTTCTTGAGTTCATTCAGCAGTAGGTACTTTGCAAAATGTGGCCTCTTAAATATGATGCATGTTAATGTATTATATAGCAGCATTTTGATGCATAATGCTCTGTGCTAATTGCCTGTTTTGGTTGCAGAATTTTGAGGATGTCCGGTGTAAATGTATTTGTCCTCCTTATAAAGAACATTCTGGATACATTTATAACAAGAACATAACTCAGAAAGATTGGTGAGTGTTGAGCTAACTGTGAAATCTCTTTCCAAGATGGTTTTTACTGCCTTAGAATTACTAGTGTAGGTAGAATTTTTTCTTCTTTAGCAATAATTTAATCTTATCACTGCTAGAAAATAGTCACAGTAAAGTGCTGATTGGATCTGGCAGTGCCTGTTGGAAGTAAATGTAATAATGTAAGCTTGTGTAGAGGGCTTTATGTATGCCTTACATACGTTCTCACTTAGTCCTTTCAACATACTGGTAATCTAGGCCATACAAGTAATCTTATCACCATTTCTAAGACTCTGAGACAGTAATAACCTTCCCAGAGTCATACACTTCATGGAACTACAGCCAGAATCAAGAGCTTCTCATTCTTAATCCAGTGTTCGTTTGTTTTTTCCTTCCTTCCTTTCTTCCTTCCTTCTTTCCTTCCCTCTTTGTCCCCTCCTTTCTTTTTAGTGTAGCCAAATTGAATTTACCCAAGAAATGGGGTGCTCTCTTTGAGTAATGCCTCCAAAATGCCTATAATCCTCTTCTGTACATTTCTCTTTTATAAAAATTAATTTATTTTAAACTTAAATACAAAATAAGAAAAAAAGCATTGTCATGTACACAGCAGAACATAAGAGAGGATTCAAAATATATAGAAATAAATTTCCATTTCAAGAAAGCCTATATAATAAATACTACACATTGTGTTCAGAGCTGTTCATCTTTTCTTTTCTTCCTTGTAAATTTTCTTTTGTTCTCTGCTGTGCACTTTTTACTTTGTTCTTCCTTCCCTTTCTCCAAGGAGGCTAAAATTAAGCACAGATATACATATTATATATACATATATATGTATGTATATACATATATGTGTGTTTATACACATACATATACACATAATACACACACATATACATATACTTAGATATTTATAATCGTACTCATATATAGACATATACATTCATATATATCTAAGTCAACCAACTCATTTCCTATACCACAGCAACATTCCAACCTTATACTATCTAGTATTTAAAATAGTCTAAAACAATATTGATTAATGTGGCTGACGTATAGTGTAGTTTCCCTGTTTTTCTCTTTTGATTAAATCTATTTTATTTTAACTTTGTCTGAGGTCATGATTACTACCCCTGCTTTTTTTCGTAATAAATTCTATTCTTGATCTTTATTTTGTGTGTGTGTGTGTGTATCTCTTATTTTCTTTCCCTTCTGATTCTATTTTATTTCTGTTCCCTGCCTTGCCCTCCTGTTACTTAACCTACTCCTCCATGATCTCTCCCTTATCCTCTCCCCCCACCCTTTCCCTTTACCCTCTTGTTTCTGTCTGAATTTAGAAGACTTTTATAGCCTTCCAAATATATGTTATTCCCTTTTCATCCCATTCCCATTAATCTAGACATCCTTTTATACCTCCCCACATCCTATTCCTTCACCCTCTTATTTCTCTATAAATTTAGAAGACTTTTATTCCCTTCTAAATGTATATATTGTTTTCTCTTTAACCCAGATGTGATGTGAGTAGGATTTCCTCTAAAAATCCCTCCCTTATTTTCTCTCATCTCCCTATCCCCTTAGCCTTTTATTTCTTTCTGAATTTGGAAGACTTTTATACCCTTCTAGATATATATATGTATGTGTGTGTATCTATCTATCTATCTATCTATCTATTTATCTATTTATGTATTGTCTTTAACCCATTTCTAATGAGAGCAGGGTTCCAGAACTACCAGCCCTCCTCCCCCAACTAATTCCATTGTGTAATTTCTTCCTCTTGAACCTCATTTGTATAAGAACTCCTTTTACCTTCTCTTAAACGGTTTTACTTCTTAGAATCACATCGTACTCAGGTCTACCCCAGTCTTTCTTTTGAACTACCCAATTACTAATAACAGTATTAGACATACATTTTACATTTCCTCATAAAAAGTAAACAGTCGGTCCTTATTAAGTCCCTTGTAATTAGTCTTTGATGTATACCTTATATTTCTCTTGGATCTTGTATGTCAAATTTTCTATTTAGTTCAGGGTTTTTTGCAACAAAATCCTGAAAGTCTAGCAATTCATTGAATGTCCTTTTTTTTTTTTTCATTGAGGATTATGCTTAACTTTGCTGGGTATGATATTTTTGGCTGTAACTCCAGTTCTTTTGCTCTACACACTTCTCGGTGGAGATGTAAAGCATTCTTTCCTTGCCTTCTACAGTTAGCTAAGCAAGTCTTCTTGTCCTGGTTTAGGGTTCTCTACTACTTAGTAGGTTCTGATCTGCTATTCATTACTAAGTATTGGTGATTGTATAAAAACCCACCTTGAGCCTCACCCTGTCATGTAACAAATTAAAACTGGTTGTCTGGCTCTTTATGCAGAGTGATGTGAGTTTTTCTCTTGCTAGTCAATCTTCCCTTTAGGCCTGGTGTTTGAATTGTGATTTTTTTTTTGTTTTTAGTCACTAAGGAAGAATTTCAGGAAACAGAAGTACCTGGGGAAATTCTGGCCTCTTATGGATAGATATAACTATATATCTATATAACTATATATCTAAAGCCATGTAACTAACATTGATTTGAGTTTGGAACTAAAGAAACAACAGGGAAAAGTATGGGAAGTTTGGAGGCAAAGTTTTAATCTTTCTGTTAGTGTGGTGGTAGTGTGGCACGATGAAAAATGTGGGCCTGTGTTCTGCGTGGAGCTCTACTACTGACCAGCTGGAGTCCTTAAGCAGGTCACAAAACCTCTCTAAGCTCTAGTTTCTTCGTCTTTAAAATGGGGAGATTGAGTTATAGTTATATCTCTTTGGTCTGTTTTAGTTGTGTCATTCTAGGATTCTCTGGGTCCTCTATAAATGTATAGTTTGGGCACTAGAAACCTTTTAAGTGAATGAAACTGACACAATGGATAGGGCTTGGAGACAGGGATACCTGGGTTCAAATCCAGCCTCAGATCCTGTCTAGTTGTGTGGCCCTGGACGCATCATTTAACTTTTGTCTCTGCCTCAGTTTCCTCAACTGTAAAATGAGGATTGTAATGCGACCTATCTCCCAGAAGAAGTGAGATATTTGTAAAGTGCTTAGGACAGTGCATGGTACATAGTAAGTGCTTAATAAATGCTCGTTTCTTTTCTTTTAAGTCTGTTGGTTATTTTGAATTCTATAATATCTAACTGTTCTTTGTATCTCCAAAATAAGCATTTAGCTCTGTCAGATGTTTTCTAAGTAGACTTTTGTAAAGCTGCTTCTTTTTTTTTTTTTCCCCTTAGTGAGGCAGTCGGGATTAAGTGACTTACCCAAGGTCACACAGCTAGTACACTTCAAGTATTTGGTCAGAGGTCGGATTTGAACTCAGGTCCTCCTGACTTCAGGGCCGGTGCTCTATCCACTGCCCCACCTAGCTGCCCTGTAAAGCTTCTTCTTGTGTTCTTTCTTGTTCCATTTTTAATTGCTCCATATTACAGAGTGACTTGACTACAATTATTTAGGCTTTATGTCATACAGTCACTTTGTAATTTAAAAGAAAGCCAAGGGGGGCAGCTAGGTGGCGCAGTGGATAGAGCCCCGGCCCTGAAGTCAGGAGGGCCTGAGTTCCAATCCGGCCTCAGACCAAACACTTGACACTTACTAGCTGTGTGACCCTGGGCAAGTCACTGAACCCCACCTGTCTAAGCAAAAAAAAAAAAGAAGAAGAAGAAAAAAAAGCCAAAATCAATCTTTAATGTATGCTGATAAATTATTCAGGATATAATGGGCACTTACAGTTCGTTTATTCAGACATGAAGTCCAAGTCAGTATCTATTATTTGAATGACAAATAAACTTACCCTTCCAGTGTTTGACCCATGTCCTTTCCCTGATTACCTTTGCTTTCAGGTTCAGATAGATTCTGAACATCATTCACCCCTGGTGAGGGATGCTATTGGAGAGAATCGGGAGATTTGACAGTAATCCACTGAAAAGGGTTTTTTTGTCTCTTTGACCTTGCTATGGGCTGATAGGCTTCCTTGACCCTGTTTGAAAACAACTGGCTTCAGAAAGTTAGGCAAGGTGTTGATGGCCAAAGTGTTTCAAGACTTTGAGAAAAGAAGAAAGGTGACAATAGGTAATACAAAGGGCATTGGGAATGTGGTCAGAAGAACTGGATAGGAATCTCAACTTTTTGATCTGGAAAATGGTGATCATACTTTTGTTATCTGCCTCAGAGTTGTGGGGATCAAATATGATCATGTCATAGAATTAGGGACCTTGGAGATCACCTACGCAAGGATTTCTTAACCTAGGGACCATGAACTCATTTTAAAAAATATTTTGACAACTATATTTTAGTATAGTTTCTTTTGTAATCCATCCAGATCCTCTTCTATGCATTTAAAAATTTATTCCAAGAAGAGGTGATGGGTCTCACCGGGCTGCCAGAAGAGTCTGTGATATAAAAAAGGTTAAAAATCCCTAATCTAGTCCAACCTTCTCATTTTACAATTGAGGACATGGAGGCCCAGAAGGGTAAATAAAGTGACCTTTCCAAAGTCACTGAGCACAGGCTTTCTGACTCCCAGGTCTGTTGTTCTTTCTGTTACACAGACTGCTTCTCTCTGTGTGCTTTGTAACTGAAGCATTGACAGACTGTGAGTTCTACCTAAGATAAACATATGTGTGTATGCTGTGCTGTAGTAAATGAGAAAATCAGAGGCATGACATACATTTATGTAGCATTGAAGATTTGCAAAGCAAGTATTTACTTCACAGTAGTGCTTTCAAGTAGGTATTGCAAGTGTTATTCATTCTGTTTTACAGATGAAGAAACTGAGGCTAAGGGATTGAAGTGATTTACCCATGTTCATGTAGTGTCTGAGGCAGGATTTGAACTCTGGTCTCCTGCCTCCAAGTTCTGTGCTCTTTTTACTATGTCAGGTTGCATCCTCCTGCTGGGCTTTTCAGTGTAACATCTGCATTCACCAGCTCGTGGCCAGGATTTCATGTAGTTTGGCTCCAAAGGGCAGTGTGGGATGAGACCATCAGGACAAAAGTCCTTTAGTGCTCAGCCAGTTTCTTGTAGACTGTGCTGTGGCTATCAAAGTTAGATCACCCTGAGGATAACATTTGCCTGTTGTTTCCTGGTTTCATGTTTTGTTATTGTTAGATTTATCCATCCTTTGTGTTCTTTATGAAATAGTAAATATTTGTTTCAGTAAAGTTGTGTAAATTCTCAGTTTTGTGTCTGGTTGTCTTGAAGCTGGTATATTCCTCCTCCTAACACTAGGTGGCACGGTTGTCTATTCTATAAGCTCCTCTTGGGCCTAGTGGAGAGCAAAGCCAAGTTCTGCTCTAGAAGCACCACTAAGGCTATGCATGGCCCTGTCTGTTGCTATCAAGAAGTCAGACACTTATTCAGTGCCAATCACCACTCAGCCCCTCTGACCCTGCTGGCCTTCTGCTGGGCTTTCAATGCATTTGTATTGCTGCCCTCCATTTCTTTTTCAGGAGGAATACTCATCTCACACTTTGGGGAGAGTGACTGTGGTTCCTAAGGCCACAAGAAGAGACACTGAATAGGAGAGCCATTGCTTTTCCTGACTGAGAGGAAAAAGAGTTAATACAGGGTTCTTCCTGGCAATGTCTAGTGAATAGAATTATTCTCTGTACTTCCTGGTATGTCACTTGTTAGAGAAACAGCTCCTACAAGACAGAGAGAATCTCTCTTAAACTTTGTGTGATATAATTCATGTCACTTGTCACGGTGTCTAAATTATTACATCATATTTGAACTTTAATGTTGTGCAAAGTAAATTGAGCAAAGGTAAGCCTTAGAAATACCTTAGCTTTACTTTCAACGTCATAGATTTGACCTGTAGTGCCAGTGTTAGTCACACACACACACACACACACACACACACACACACACACACGCACCCCCCCCACACCCCCCCCCAGTCCAATGTGGCCTGCCAAATACATCTCCGTTGTCTGTCTCTATTCAAAATGCCACTAAAAGATTCTGTATCTTCCTGCTATTCTTTCTTGAAAGATACTGTGCATTCTCTTAGGTAGAGTGGGAAGGAGGTGAAGCTTAAAACTGCAAGCTTTGTCAGTAACAGAAATTTTAGTAGGACTGAGGTGATTGTCCTTTAAGGTGAGAATTGGCTTATGATATTATTCACCATTTCTGTAGTGTTTTGAGGTCGGTAATGCAAGTATTTTTAATCCCTATTTTGCAGAGGAGAACTGAGATTTAAACCATTTATCGATTCATCCAAAACCACACCTAGCAAGTATCCAAGTGGAGATTTGAGTTCAGGATCTTTAGACTTCTGAGTGTAGTGTTTTTACTTCCATACCATGCTCCCTCTGAAAAGAAATGTAAAATAAAGATAAATTGTGTTGGCTGTTATGGCCCCCCTCCCTCTCCCTCTCTGTCCTTCCCTGTTTCTTAGTTGGCTGGAAGCTTCTTAAGGGAACATCTTAGGTCTTTTTATCTGCCTCTTCTAGTGCAGTCAGATGTGTAGTAGGCACTTACTTAAATCCTTATTGAATTGAGCTGAGAGGTATTGCTCTGCCATTTGTCAGCTTTATGAGTTTGGAAAAGGGATGCTACTTCCGTTCTTCATGCTTAATGTAGGAAGAATTCCTCCTGAAGGCCAAAGTGGATACAAACTGTGAAGTGCTAAATACGTATAAAGTGTTGTTGTTACAATGAGGAGTATTAAGCACATTTGTGTAGTGTTTTAAGCTTTTCTGTTCTTTTATCACAACAACTAGTAGTGTAACCATTACTACTGCCATTTTCCAGGTGAAGAAATTGAGGCTCAGAAATCTGAAGTGACCTATCCAGGGTTCTATAGCTAGTTAATTTCAGTGCCAGGACTCAAATCCAAGTCTTTTGTTATGAGACAGAGGGAGAATGGGAAATTCTGGGCAGCTGGGGTGAGGTCAGCATATGAACATAAGAGAGAAAATCCCAGAAATAAGTGGGAGGTGCTTTGCTGACTGTGCAGTACAGCCACCCACAGTCCAACTTTGGGACACTTAATAAATTGTGGCTGAAGGAGAGAAATTATTTGAATATTTCCTAGAATTATCTCCTCCCTAGGAAGATTCTCTTTGATAGGCTTTTAATTAAGAGAAACACTTAATGTGTGATTTTTTTTTTTCCATGTTGATTCTCCAACCACCTAGTAGGGTTAATAACATCAGAAGGCATTCTGTTTTGAGAAGCAGATTTTGATGATTTAGGCATCTTTTAGAAGAGAACAAAATCAGTGCTCTTGGAAGCATTTCCTGTGGATCACTTTAAAACATATTCACTGGCAGACTGAATGAATAAAACATTAATTAAGTGCCTCTTTAAGTCACAGGTGGCACTGTGCTAAGCTCAAGAAGCTTACATTGTAAAAGGGAAAGACAGCACATGTAGAGGAAGGGTATCCACAGAAGGGAGTTCTATTTTGGGGAGGTGGCTGGATGAGAGAGGAAGCTAAAGCATGGTCTGGTCAATGATTGAAGCCAGAATTAGTGGGCTAAGTGGGTCAGTTAGTTGGATGGTGCTCTAGAATGGGAGTTCCAAAGATGAATGGACTGATTTACCCAGGAATTGAGGCCAGGATTCAGGAAGAGCTAGGTATTGAGGTCCAGCAGTCAGGTTCCATGTGGAGGCATCTGGTCAGTAACAGCAGCAGGCAAATGGTGAGATTACCCCAGCGAATGGCTGGGTGGGATGTAAAGCTAAAGCAAAACAAAACAAGACATAAAAAAGGAAACTTTTTAAAGCTCTTTTATGAGATAACTGAGCCCAAATATAACTGTGCTGATAATGATTTAACAGATCTTATAAGAGTCAATATTCATTCATATAACAGGCAAGAGTTGAGCTAAATGACCTCTAAGGTCCCTTCCAGCCCTGAGTTTCTGTGATTAGCTGTTCACATTTGGGCCTTGTAAGATACATTAGTACCTGGTAAAAGGACAACTTAATTCAGCTCTATCCCTCCTGTTAATTTTACTGCAGTGATAGCTCTGAACTCTTCTTGGAGAAGAGATTATTTTTGTCTTACCTTATTGGTATGCTTATTGAAGGGGGGAATTGGATTTAATGACCTCTGAGATTCTCGGATTCTGTGATGTATTCATAGAACTTCTCTGATTAGAGTTTTTTCTTTGTTTTGAATTTCAGATAGTTTTGCTTCTGAATAACTTAGCTAATCAAACCAACTTTAAAAATCATTTTAATTTTCTTAAATTTTTTTTTTCCAGTAATTGCCTGCATGTTGTAGAACCCATGCCAGTCCCAGGACCTGATGTCGAAGCCTACTGCCTTCGTTGTGAGTGCAAATATGAAGAAAGAAGTTCTGTCACAATCAAAGTAAGTTTCCATTTCTCCTGTTCTGAGAAGCAGCAGAAAGGCTTCCAGAGAGCAGTCCAATAACAGGCAGTGGTTGTAGAGTTAAAACCAGAGACTCTGGGCTCCGATCCTGGCTCTGCTCCTTCTCAGCTGCGTGACCAAGGGCAGGTCCCATCTTCTTTGGGCCCTCAGCATCCTCACTGTAATAGAGGAATGATACCTGTGCCTTTTCCTACATCACAAGGCTATTTTAAGAATCAAGTGAGATGCCAGTAGAAGCATGTTGAAAATTGTAAGATTACAGTACCAGCATTAGGTATTGTTATTAATGTTAGGGCCTCTTGGTTTCTGCCTAAAACAGAAACTTGGGAATTTTAACTTCCATCCCTAACATCTGACTAGTCACTTAGCTCTCACCATTCCCTTAGCAACGAAATTGAGACTAGCCTGCTACCTATGCACCTTAGGAGATACTTTGTGGATTAATTAGTTCATGTTACAAGAATGTGTGAGGTGCCATTAATTTCTTGTGGAGAAAGTGTGTAATTAGCACATTTCAGAAAGCTGATGTATGTCATTTCAGTTCTTCTATATGGCCATGAATTCTGTGAACTGTAATTAAATTCCCTTCCTTTCTTTCTTTCCTCCCTCAAAGCGGAATAATGTAACCAAAACTAAAACATTTGACTTAATTTTTTCTGGGTTTAGATACATATTTTATGCTGATAGGTTTACAAAGAGCTCTCTCTAGTTTGACCACTTTTTCTAGATCTTAAGGTTTTATTTTCCTTACTTTTTTAAACTATAAGGTCTTCTCTCTGGTGACCTAGAGTCATTTCCTACTCTCACCCAAATTCACTACTGGATGTTTTGCCTAGCCCTCTCTCCTCTGTTGTTTACCTGTATTACTTAATGCCTATCAGTGTTTAGTATAGTGCCTTCCTCCACAAAAGCCCTGCATTGTTGCATCAGAATGATATGGAGGTTACCTTGATTCTTGAAGGCTTCACAAATAGTATAAGCTATGGTAGGCCTATTATACTGGAAAGTTTAAAGAGAGAGACCAGTGACAGACTGTATTTTGTTTTCCACGGACCAGCCTTGCTAACTTAACAGTTTGGCCAAAGAATCATCAAGTTTCTGGCCACAGCAACTCTTCAAAATCATCTCCTAGAAGATTGACTCTCTGAGTTGATAGAAGGAGAAATCACAGATCCTGGAAGAGTGAAATACAGAAATAACCCCTTACCCCACTAGGATAGTTTAAGTCCCTCCCCAGGCAGAGGCAACGTATGTAGTCCTGAGTTGCCATCTTCTACCGAGAGCTGCCTTAGGAAACCTTCCCCATTGGATGGGATGCAGAATTCCCACTGACTCAACTTATACAGCAATCCATTGTGCTCTGTAGAAACCAACTCACTCTGGGAGAATGTGGCTCTGGCTCCCAGGATTCTCTTGTATCTGGATTTTTCCATATTATTATGAGAGTGGCAACTCCTATTTGTCTAGTGTTTTATAGATTAATGCATGCAGTCCCCACAACAGCCATAAGATCAGTCCTGCATATATTGTTTGAGTCTCTGAAGCTGACTTGCCAGGATCCCGAGCCCCAGTACATGCTATAGCTGTCACTTAAGTCCACGTTTCCCACTTCCACATCCAGTACTCTTTTCCACTATACCCGAGTGCGTCTTTTCCAGGCTGCACTAACTATTAAAATTGGCAGAGTTGCGTTTTGTATGAGATCTAGTAATATTGACATTTAATTTTGAGACATGAAACCAGTGATGTTTGTGTGTAGGTTTAAAAAAAAAAAGAGTTATTTCACTGGCAACTGGAATTAACAGTAGGTGTGTGTGTGTGATGTTTGGAGTCCTTGAGAAACAGGTGCTGTCCAGGGACAAAATGGTTTCTTCTCTCTTTCCCTTCAGTTGATACTTTGTGAAGAATTTTGTTTCTTCCATTAGAATTTTGTTGAGTTAAAGGACCTTCTTCAGATTGATTAGATCCCAGTGTTACTGATAGGGTTGGTACATGGGTCTTCACAGCCACATTTTCGTAACTTTGTTGATATATAAAACTGTTTTTTGGTTTTGTCAGAGATGTGATATATTTTCCATTTGCCTTCAGATTACAATTATAATTTATCTGTCTATTCTGGGCCTGCTTCTTCTGTACATGGTATACCTTACATTTGTTGAGCCTATCTTGAAGAGGCGTCTCTTTGGACACTCCCAATTGATACAGAGTGATGATGATGTTGGGGTAAGTTAATAGTCTCACTGAATTTTCTGTGTTCTGCTTGATAATTACTGCCAAATAATTGAAAACAAATATGTTTATGTAACATAATGCAGTATAACACGTTAGGACTAAGATAAGCATTAAACACTTATTATGGCCTAGGAACTATGCTAAGAACTGGGGGCTTAATTTGTACATTGTCTCTAAAACTTTGGTTGTAATATTTTTTCCTGAGAAAGTTGTTCTATCCAAGGAGATATCCTGGTTTGAGAGTCTCTTTTCTTGCTGCTTTTAAGACAAATGAACAAGTTCCAGATCTCTGTCTCCTTTAGTGTCAGCTGAACCAAGGGTGTATTTATCATCTCTTCTCATTTCTATTGAAAAAGATATCTGACAGCGAGGTGATGGGCTAACATGCCAAATTAGGGACACATTTTTGAACATGGCTAATATGAGAAGTTGTTTTGCTTGACTATACTACTTTATTACAAGACTTTTATGTTCCTTTCCCTTTTTTTCCAGGTGGGGAGGGGAAGTAGGAGGGATGAAAAGAAATGCTTGATAATTGGGGGAGAAATAGCAACAATAAAAATGTTTTTAAAAAGAAAAGATACCCAAGGTCCTTCTTTTCCCCTCTTCCTTGCCTGCCCCCCACCCCCAACTCCAGCCCTTCCACTTAGCATCACCTGCTCTTTCAGAAGGCACCAAGATGTTTTTGTGAAGCTATCTGTTATGTCCTAAAGAGGTTGTTTTCTGAAGAAGGGCATCTTTGTGACTTGAGGATCATGACTCCATGTTGCATTAGAGCTCTTGCTGTAATTTGATTTCAAACCCACCATGAATGTCCGTTGGTAACACTTGAACATGTCAAGAAGGGTCTCATCTCCCCTGTGTTAGACTTTTTGCTGGAATCTGAATTGCACGCTGATAGTTACCTCCTGCTGTAGGATCTCTGCTTCTAGAAGTTAAGAAATACTGAAAGTTCTATATTCTTAGCCTTTCTAAAAAGAAAAAAATCACTTAGTTGGTCACTTTGTAGTGACCAACCTCTCTTAAGCTAGCTAGGCTTGTAGTCAGCAGACATAGAGTGTGTTCCCTGATGTGGAGTGCATTTCAAAGCCTTTCCAGCTTGATAGAAGCTGCATTGCTTCTGTTGGCCTGACTCCCAAGATCCCTGAGCTGCTTCTATACTTGATAAACCAGAAGAGTAGGATTTGTGTGGAGACTATAGCTATGAGACTTTTTAAAACAGCCTTAGTTCTGAAACTCAGCATTTCTATGTATGTATGTGTACCTTCTTTTAAAAGTCTTAATTTAAAAATATTTAGTTGACTCAAACTCAGATTTCCATCCAAACCTTTTTTTTTTTTTTTTTTTAATTAGCAATGTTAGAGTAGGGTGTAAGTCTGCCACTGAAGGTTGGGAAGCTCTGAGCAGGCGATTAGTCTGTTTACTATATCATATAACCATGACACATCATCAGTATTATCAAAGCATTACGTTAAAGCATGTTTTGTATTTATTGTAATTTTATCAGGTATAAAAAGAACAGCTTATAAGAAGAGTGAATTTCTGTTTGTGCTCCACAGGCATCTATGGCTTTAAGCAACCAGTTCAGTCTTGTTCTGATAGTTGGAGAAAGGCTAAAAGGATTACCTAGTTTGTTTTGTTCTGTAGAATTTGTTCCTTAAGAAAATTTTCCCCTATCTTGATAAGTTGTTTGGGATAGAAGCTGAGAGGTCCTCTGCTTCTGATAGCCTGCATATGCCCCTTCCTCCTACCTGTATTTATATTTAAACAAGCCCAAGTAATAGTATTTTATATACAGAGTTTATTCTTCGTATTACTGCTGTGACCTTTAAGTATCCATTTATCCACGAACACAGTTGTGTTTGAGATAGAGATGACGCTGGTGGAAAGCTGGGGGACCTATGTTTTAGTGTCTGGGCTTTAACATGCTCGGTTATAGGGGGCTAATTAGCCTCTTTGGGTCCTTAAGAGGACAGGAACCGGCACTGTGTTCTGCTTATTGTTGTATTCCCTAGCACCTACCAGAAAGCTCTGCATGTTGTAAGAACAATGAAGATAACTCACATTTACCAAGGGCTTTGCAAGGCACTTTCCTTACTGCCCTCTGAGGCAGGGAGTACATGTATTTTATGGATGAGGAAATTGATGCTTAGCAAGGTCCCCAGTACCCAGGGTCACCCAGCTGGTACCTGTCAGAGCCAGGAAGTTCAGTTCATTTATTAAGTTCCTGTGTCCCATGTACTGGGAATATAAAGCAAAAAAAAAAAGAAACTGTTGGACTGCAGAGAGCTTACATTCTTCTGGAGGACAGGGGCAGGAAGAGAATATAACTTTTAAAGAGAGAAGTTGTAATTGTTTCTGTGAAAACAAATTGTTAGGGTGATGGTGCTAGAGGGAGTCGTTAGTTTCATAGGAAAAATGTCATTGTAGTTGTTATCATTATTATCATCACCAACATTTATATAGTCTTTAAGCTTTGCAAAGCACTTTATATAGATTAGCTCATTTTATTCTCCCAATGAAATAGGTGCTATTATCATCCTCATTTAATAGGAAACTGAAGTAGACTGTGGTGAAGTGATTTGCCCAGGGTCACACAGCTAGTAAGTGCCTGAAGCAGGACTTGAACTTAGATCTTCCTAACTCCAGATCCAGCATTCTCTGCTGTCCCTTCATTTCACAGTTATACAGTGGGGTTTCATTATAGTGTATTAATGATGATATTTTCTACAGTGAGGCAGCATTAGATGAAAATATGCATATAATGAGGAAGAAGAGTATGAGGGCTCCCGGGGGCCATCTGGAAGGAGCTGTTATTGGAAATGCTCTGATGTTTTTGACTTTTTTTTTTTTTTGTGAGGCAGTTGGGGTTAAGTGACTTGCCCAGAATCACACAGCTAGTATTCATTATGGTGTTTGTGTCTGAGGCTGGATTTGAACGCAGGTCCTCCTGACTCCAGGGCCAGTGCTTTATCCACTGTGTCACCTAGCTGCCCCCTGTTTTTTGACATTTTAAAAGAATATGCCATATTATTAAAACAAGGTCAGGCATCATATAAATTTTGTTACATAATTTTTTGCATACTTCTTCACTCATACTTAGGATATATATAGTACTTGGGATTTTTCAAGTAAACTTAGAAGGATAATTGTCTTTTTTGTCTGACGGCTAAAGATTGGTTTAGGGAGAGGCATGACTTGTGATTGGGATTTTATATCAGGGCTGAGCTCTTGAGAAAGGGATCCAGGAAAGGCCAAACACAAAGCAATCAATGGCTAGTGAAAGCTTTTGTCATTTAGGCAGCTGTGTTTATGTTTTATTTTTAGAGCATTTAACACAATTATTTCCAGTGTAATGACTATAAACACCCTGTTGTATTGGTTTACTTTAGTTTTTCCACCTAGAAACCTTGTATAGCACCTCAACCTTCAGTCATCACGAATGCAACTGGGTGTTTGGCAATATCTTAGTCTATTCTGCAGGAAATATAATCAGGTGACGCTCTTGGTAAAAATTGAGGCAAATCCCTGTCCTGCATTCCTTTTGAAATTGAAGGCCTCTCTTGTAAAAATGGTCAACTTTGGAAGTAGGAAGGGCTTTGAGATTTTTGCTGTTATAGAACTAGTTCACCTGGGGGGAGAAATAAAGAATAAACACAGATAAGGCATACCAAATTATTTTCCTGGGCAAATACAACTCTTGGCTTCCACTTGACCAAGTCTGAAGAGGTTGAGATCTGGGTTAAGGCTCCCGGGGGAGCCTCTATCACAGAACCGCTGTATAATAACAGACAAGCCACTGAATTTCTCTGTTCCTTAGTTTCTACAGCAGTAAAATGAGGATGATGCTGATGTGAGCATGGGCATCAGTACATGAATGTCTTGACCTCTTTTCTTGAGACAAGTCTTTCTACTGTTACCCCTGGAAAATGGGACCTCCCAGAGCTCCTGTTCTTCACCAGTCATGGGCCACCCTGCTACCATAATTTACCACCTCCTTCTAGGGTGAAAACAGTGTGGGGACCTTTGGTTCTTAATTGTGAGTTCTATACAGGTTCATGTTTGTTGGTGTTAAAACTCTTAGTAGGACAGACACAATGTTGATTGATAGTCTCGTGGCCTGCCTAGATCTATGAGTGTGTATCGCATTTGGTTCCCTTTGTTCATATGTTTCCACCATTGGCTGATTCCTTCTTTTCCCTCTTTTTCATTCCTGGACTTGTAGGATCACCAGCCCTTTGCAAATGCCCATGATGTGCTAGCCCGATCTCGCAGCCGGGCTAATGTGCTCAACAAAGTGGAATATGCCCAGCAGCGTTGGAAGCTTCAAGTACAAGAGCAGAGGAAGTCTGTGTTTGACCGGCATGTGGTCCTCAGTTAATCAGGAACCTAGTGCCAAGGTGACTGGAAGGAAGGAAGGAAGTGGGCTTCAGGAAAAACTGCTCATATCTTCCTGATTTTTTAAACCACTGCTGAGAGATTTCACCAAACTTGTTGGATAGTTCAAAACTGGAAGCAGAAAAAAAAGCTTTTTTTAATTTAAAAAATAAAAGGTATTAACTGGAAAATGTTAAAAGCACATGTCTCAGAAGCCAAAAAGCCACAAACAGTTCTTTCTGGCTTTTCCTAATGAAGCTAAATCTACCTATGAATTATCTTGAGATCTTTTCTCTCTGGCAAACATTCATTTCTTTCTGCATTCTTCCTTACCTTAATTCTAACATGTTTTTCAGGACAACTTTCACACTCTTCGTCTTTAGGGGGAGGGAAACACAACTTTCACAAGACACTTTATTCCATGGACTTTTGTAAATAGATGTTTCCTATCGTATTTTTGTGCTTGGCCTCATTTTCAGCGGAATCAGCTTCTGCTGGAAATGCTGACTTGCTCAGCCGATTTTTAGCACTGATGGTGTCCTAAGCAGATGATTGGCTCTTGGCAACACTTAGTACGTTGACTGTGAAATATTACTGACAGAAATGCAGATTTACTTTGGTACTGTGATGTAGATAAAACTCTCCAGTCTCATGCAGAGCATTCTGGTATGGAATGGCCCTTTGCTAGTTTTCTCAGTGACTGAACAAATGGTGTTGGTGTTTGTGGTCCTTCTTAACCTCTTCTCATGGCCTTAGGGATAAGCCTCAAGATGTGGAAACCATGTGATAAAGAAACCCATCTCTAAAGTTAAGCCTATCTGAATTGGTGGTTTACGTACATTCTTCAGCATTTCCAGTCATCCTGGAAGTTGACTGGTGGGCTTTGTGTAAGTCTCTGAACTGTAACTAAGGTCCTGGACTCCACCCTTTGAGAGCTGTAACAGCTATTGGATAACTGGCTCTTTACTTTCTACATCCTCTTTGGAATGTAACAATAAAAATTAATTTTTGAAAAACCCACCAGTGTCCTTGACTTGTAGTTCCCTTTCTTTCCCTGTTCCTAATTATAAAGTTTGTATAAAAAAGGGAAATTCAACACAGTATAAAGAAGAATATTCTCGAGGGGGAGAAAAATTTTAAACTCAAAAGCTTATGGAAGTGATTGTTGATAAATCAAAATAAATGAATAAAAATTAAAAAAAAAAATATTCTCACAATTAGAACTATCCAAGAATAGAATCAGCTGCTTTGATACTAGGTGGGTTCCCTGTCACTGAGAAAGGTCAGGCCAAGTCAGGAAGACTTTGTCATGAATGTTGTAAAGGGGGTTCGGAATGGGTACTTTTTAATGGTCAGTATGATCATGTATTGTCTAACAGTATCAAATGTGAAATGATTTTAGTTTAGACCGTGGATCTAAACGTGTCATAAGAAGTGGGGTTTAAAATGCTAACATAAAAAACCATTATGCCCAGAAATATACAGCTTTAACTCAGTAAAGTAAAACATCCCTGTTGTGAATGTAATGTTCCTTGCATAACCTGTGGCTCAGAACGGCTTGGGAATCTCATGGCCCAAGGATTGGCTCGGGTGCTAAGAACTGAATTTGGCTTATTTAACATTCTCCACTAGGGGGCTTCCATTCCCCAGCAAGCATCAGGTTAGCAATAAATACTTAAATAAAGAACAGGTTTATTAAAAGGCACTCAAAGAACAGAAAACCTAGTTTGTGTCCTAATCTGGTTAACAAAGAAATAATAATAAACCACGTTCTGATGAATGCCATTGTCTTCTTTTCCCTGACCCCTCTACCACCACCCTGGAAGTTTAATTGCAATTCCCACAAACTTAGCGCCCTAGAAGTTTAATCGCAATTCCCACAAAATTCAAGGAACAAACTAGTCAGGTCCCTGCCCCATGTATGGGTCGGAGTGGGTCTGTCCGTTGTCAGCTGACCTGCTTCTCTCAAGATGGTACTTTCTATAGAGATTACTCTGGCATACTCTCCGTACCCCAGCTTCCAACTGCTCTTGCCATCTCTCGGAAGTCAGACAGTTGTCCTGGCTCCCCAAACTCTTAGCTGTGTTCTCCCAGTAGCCATAGCTGGCCTGGTTCTGCACAAACCCTGGAGGTCCTGTCCTGTTTTTTCTCTGCCTTATGCATGTGACATCCATGGGAAATGGCCGCTTGGGTCTCCTAAGAGCCTCTCGGATCGTCCCTTCAGCCTCAGCCCACAGAGAAGCTGTTCAGTTACTTTTGGGCCTATCCACTACAGTGATTTATAATCTAGTAATTTCCAAGTTCTTGGTTAGGGAGTCAGTATAGGATTTAACTAGGAGTCCAGAGAGCTAGGTTCTAGTCCAATCAACATAATCTTAAGTCATTTCACCTTTTTAGGCCCCAGTTTTCCTCTTCTGTAAAATGAGAGATTTGGATTAGACAATCGCTAAGCATCCTTTCTGCTCTGAAGTTGTACGATTACCTTCCATAACTCAAAAATTTTTTCTTTAAATCTAGATTAAAAAATATTTAAGTTTATGGGGACTGTACTTCTGAAGAAAACTTGATTCTGGAGAGTCACTTGGCTGTGTTGATTGCTATTGTTTGAGATTGAAATCCAATGTTTTTTCAAGTGAACCTTTATTTTCAGTCGTACTATTTGTTGTCATATCTGCGTAGTGGGTGGGAAAAGGCTAAATAAGAGCTGCACAGGTCTGTTTAACCATAAGCTACTTTGCATATTGTCACCAATAGTCTATAAATCCGACAGGTCTGACTTGGCTCAACATCCAACATTTTGACCACAAAACTCAGGTAAGAGCTCTTCAACTTGGTTCAAAAAGAATTCCTGGGCAAAATGCATGTCACTTGAATTTTGTCTTAGGTCCTAGTACCAGGAGGCTTTAAATTTTAATGATTATTGCAGGATTGAATTTTACCCATTTGATAAGGCTGGAATTGTTAACACTGAAAGCTCCCAAATTTGCTGTAATCATTAGCACTTCTGTAATGTTGTAGCACAGCTTCTCTGTGCTGGATTGTATTGTCTGACAAATTATATTTATTTAAACTAAAGTTTAGTTATTTAGGTTATAACAAGAAATCTTTTGAGATTTTATAATTAATTATCAATCTTCCTAGTTCTCCTAGGGAAGAAATAAATAGCCAGTTTTATCTCTTCTCAATCTCTTCTACAGATAGAGAGATTAGGACAAATTTGCCTGAAATCCCCTTTAGTTTTGTTCATGGAACTCAGAAGGCTGACTCTCGGCCCAGGGCACTAGTCAGCACGATATTTGATTTTTGTTAAGACTTCTTCTCTATTGATGTTTGCTCCTAATTCTTGTTTCCTGCTACAAGTTCTCCTCCAACCACAATCAGTTATTTTGTAATTCTCTTTCTTTGAATATTATTGTCTGGGTGGCTATAATTAAGGAAATGTCCAACTGACTGTAAGGAGCTTCCTAGTGGGTGTTCTGACAACACCTGAGTTTTTTTTCTTTAATACATTTTGGATAACTTTTATTTTTATGTCACCAGAATTTCTCCCAGTGTCCTTCTTGAGTTATTTGTCAAAAGAATTATGTTTTCTCTTATTACAACCAATTTTTAATTACCAATCACACATTTCATCTGGGTCAAATTTTAAAGATAATTTTATTAGTCTTCTATTAGGGGAAAGCTCTTTTCCCAAACTAAACACTTTAATAATTAGCAAGGTTATTAGTTGTTGGGTTTTTTCTTTTTTTTAAATATTCACTTCAGTAGTCATCCTCAGGCTTTGGTTTGGCCCACAGGTCAGAATTTTTAGGCTAGTTTTCTGGTTGCTTATCCACTTTCCAAAACTGAGAATTCATCAACAAAGTATTTTCAGGAATAATTCTAGCCTTTTCTTTTGCCCCTTAGAGTATACACATAATCCAGTGACTTCCACTGGAGTTGTTTACGACCTGGGTGACCTTGGGCAGATCACTCATACTTCTCTGAGCCTCAGTTTCCTCATCTGTAAAATGAGGCGGCTGGACTAGAAGAGCTCTGAGATAGCTTTGAACTCAATCTATAACTGAATCCTGAGGTAGTGACTAATTGCCCTTTTTTTGACCCTAGGCAAGTTATTTTACTTCTTTGAGACATGGTTTCTCCATCTGTAAAATGGACAACAACAACCTGACTCATTAGGTGGTTGTGGGGAAAGCACTTTGTAAACGTTTGTAAAGCGCCATGTAAGTGGGAGCTGTGTATCCAGAACCTCTTAATCCAGAAACTTTCTTCCCACTCTTGTGCTCCCTTCCCTCCCATCCCCCCTTTTCCTCCCCGTGGCTAGTTTCTAGTCTTCCAAAGGTAAAGTTGTTTCTTTGGGGGGTGGGGGGAGCCAGGCTAAGGGTTCCTGGCTTGTTAGGTCATTCCAGACTCTTTGACCTTCAGTGTTATGCAGTGCTTTACCTGGGGGTGTTTATGATGAAATCAGCCGTGAGATTAAGAAGAGCCCTTTCCCAGCATTTACATACTTTGAAGTTTCTGTTTACCCTGCAGCCTTACTTCTCCTTACTTCACCTTTCCCCTTTACTCAGTGTTCCCGCCACGCTGGTGGCCTCGCTGCTCTTCCAAATTGGCATTTCTTCTCCTGACTTTGGTCAACTCCACCTTGTGGCATCCTTCGCTCAGGTGCCACCTCCTACAGGCAGTCTTCCCCGATGCCCTGGTTGTTAGCAGTGCCCCTCATTCCTCAAAGGATACTGTATTTATTCATCTGTCTGTATGTCCTGTCCCACTGGTTGATATCAGATCCTTGAGGGCAGGGGCTTTGTCCATATTATCTTTGCATCCTCAGCCTCCAGCATACCTGGCAGGCACATCAATGTGTATTGATTTGAATTACTCCTTAGCTTCTGACTGGCCCTCCCTTTTCTTCTGTCCCTATTTAAGAAGCTAGATTGAGTATACTTCAATTAGGCATTTTCCGGGGAATCAGAGCATAATTTCTCCTACTTTAATTGTAGTGATTAATTCATTCAGCATGCATGTATTAAGGACCTGTCATGTGCCAGACACCATGCTGGGCAGTAGGCATACAAAGATAGAAATGAAACAGTCCCCTCCCTCAGGAAGCTTTGGGAAATAAAATAGACACAGATGAGTAAATACAAACGTGTGTGTGTGTGTGTGTGTGCATGCATGTGTGTGTGTGTAAATCCCCTACACCAATACGCTTCTGCAGCTGCTCAGCACCTTATAGATGCAGACAACTACCTGGAACAGAACCTAGAGACAGCCAGCCAGTCAGTCAGAACTTGAACCCAAATCTTCCTGACTCCAGGCTAGCTCTCTGTGCACCATACCATGCTGCCCTCAAAAATTTTAAATATATATAAAGTAAATACAAACCATCTTCTAGGGGTGGGGGTGGGGGAGGGTGGGCTTCCTGTTGGAGGTAGCATGTGAGCTTAGCCTTGAAAGCAGCTAGGGATTCTTGGAAAGGAATGGACAACTAGGGAACTCACTAGAAACTCTGTGATCCTTCTCTCCTGCAGCTTTGTTTTATAGATTCACATGGAAGTATATATGTTGTTTTTTCATTCTTTTTCTTTTTTCTCTTTTTTTATTAATTTATTTTGATTTATCAACAATCACTTCCATATGCTTTTGAGTTTAAAATTTTTCTCCCCCTTCCTCCCTACCCCCCTCCTTAAGACGGTGCACAATCTGATATAGGCTATACATTTACATTCCTATTAAACATATTTTCACATTAGTGATGTTGCAAGTAAGAATTAGAACCAATAGGAAGAACCACCAGAAAGAGGAAACAAAATTCAACAGAAGAGGGAAAAAAAATAGCAAATAGTATGCTTTGATCTGCATTCAAATTCCATAGTTCTTTCTTTGGATGTGGATAGCATTTTCCATCACAAGGCCTTTGGAGATGTCTTAGATCTTTGTATTGCTGAGAAGTTTGTCAATATTAGTCATTGTACAATGTGGCTGTTAGGTTGGTTCTGCTCACTTCACTCAGCATCAGACCATATAAGTCTTTCTAGGTTTTTCTGAAGTCAGCCTGTTCATCATTTCTTATAGCACATCATTCCTCTTTTTCTAACAGTGCATAATTTTGCTAACTAATGATCTTTTAAAAAATAATTTGTTGGGGCAGCTAGGTGGCACAGTGGATAGAGCACCGGCTCTGGAGTCAGGTGGACCTGAGTTCAAATCCAGCCTCAGACACATAATACTTTCTAGCTGTGTGACTCTGGGCAAGTCACTTAACCCCAATTGCCTCATTAAAAAAAAAAAATAATAATAATTTTTCATGCACCCAACTTTAAACAGAAAAACCAATTAACCATACAGGTATAGCTATTCTCATTTTAAAATGATTTTTTTATGTATAACACATCCATAACAACTTCTTAGTTATTCCTTTTGGGTCACTTTCATTCTCTTTCTGGCCATTCATATTTGTATTTATTTCTCTAGTTTTATTTTTAAGAAGCAGCATAGTGTAGTCAATAGAAGCTGACCTCAGAGTCAAGAAGTCGTGGGTTCTAGTTCCCTGCCTTTGACACACACTGAATACGTGCCTGAGCAAGTCACTCAACCTCCAGCTCTTGAGCTAACTTTCTAAGACTCTGTGGAAGAAAAAGTGCCTTTCTGCATCTGTAGAGAAGTCTTCAATGGGTGTTTCCTGCACAAATTAAAATCGCAAGACTGGTTAAAAAAAACAAAAACATTTTTCTCATTTTTGTATAATTAAGGTAAGTCTAGTTCAGGCTCTGCTTTCTTTGCTTTATATCGCCTCACCTAAGCTTTTCCAAACGTTTTTTATTCCTCAGTTTATCATTTTAATGGCCCTGTATGCCACTGCACCGACATTCAGTAGTTTATTTGATGCTTAATGAGCTCTTACAGCAAATGTACTATTGACAGATTTTTTTGATGCCTCACTTGGACACTAAAGAAAGTAAAAACATTTTCCCATGGAAAGCTTTTGGCGGAGAAGTGGCCCTGGTGAAGCATCTGGTGAGTTGTATAAAAAGGCTTAGGTCAGGAAGATGAAACTGAATAGCAGTACATATGAAAAAGACCTGGGTTTCTTAGAATACTATAGTACATGGATAGCTTGGTGTAGTGGATAGAGCACCAACTTTGGGTTCCAATTTGGCCTTTGACGTACTTGAGCTTTGTAAGCACAGACAAGTCTCCTGCCTTCTTAGTGCCTTTAGTAACTCTGTAAGAATTTAAGTTACAGATGAAAAATAAACACTGATGAAATCACAGATCAAGACCAAATAAATAAATAGTCATTTCCAACCTTTAGACAAATTTAGACTTGATGTACGGAAAAATTTCCCTATAGTTAAAACGATGAGTGGAACAGGCTGCTTCAGAAGGTGGAGGGATCTGGAGGCTGGACCTAAGAGTTAGGATGTAAAGAACATGTTCCGTTCATGTTTGCTTATGGGTTGAAGTAGGAAGGCCTTTAAAACTTCTTCCAACTCAGAAATTTTGTATGCTGGCAGGAAGCCATGCAATATACAGTAATCTGATGCTTACAGACTCATCCAGAAGGAAGTAACATGCCAAACCACATCTCTAAGACAGGACACTTGTGCTTTTGTCATTAATGAGGGGAGAACCAAATATGGGTGTACTTTATCCAACAGCTTGTATGTCAGGTTGTATATAAGTAGCATTTTTGTAAGTCAATACTTGTAAAAATCCTATGGTAATCCACCTTCTAATTTATAAGTTTGAATTCTAATTTTTCACTTAGCAGAATTATGTCAGTCACACTATGCTTATAGATTTTGCATAGTTTTTAACTGCTTCTTTATTTCTCTGACAGATAATGTCATACACCGTCTAGTTTTCAATGATAAGAAGCAATACTGAGCAGCCCACATAACAGAAATGCCTTAAGAAGACAAGTCTTTTTGGGTGACATCAGAAGAAGCATAGTGTAGTGAAAAGAACACAGGACTAGAGCCAGAAGAACTCTTACTGTAAAGTGGGTTATCGTTATTATCATATGTTATTTATGTTGACATGTTGTTGGATGAATTAATACATTTGTTTGCACTTCCAGGTTACCAAGAAAATAATGGATAACAAAAACTACTGTAATCTGACAGACAAATTGCCCCCCTTTAGTGACTCTCCCCACATGCAGCTGACTCGGTCCTTCTACCTGGACCCTGTTGTCACTTTCCACCTATATCCAGAAGCTCCTGCCCCATCCCCTTACTCTGAAGACCTGCCAGTTCTCCCTTTTACGCCTGACCAGCTAATTGTGGAAAACTTTGGAGATCCTGGTTCCTTCCCTTTTCAAATGCCATATCCCTCTTCTGGAAGATGTGAATATTCCTACGGTCCAGCATTCATCAGGAAACGAAATGAAAGGGAAAGGCAGAGAGTCAAGTGTGTCAATGAAGGCTATGCCCAGCTTCGTCATCACCTACCAGAGGAATACCTGGAGAAGCGACTTAGTAAAGTCGAAACCCTCCGAGCCGCCATCAAGTACATTAATTACCTGCAGTCTCTTCTTTACAGAGATGAAATTGAAAGCAAGAATAAGCCAGGGAAAAGTCAGGCCATTGTGGCAACTACCAGTCACCAGATGGACCCCATTTTTAAAATTGTGTAAGTAGGGCCACGGTCTTAAGGGTACAGTGTTTACAGAATCATACCATGTCTCTTACCAAGCTTTAGTTTTGTTATTAGAATCCTATCACCAGAAGCATCTTTAGAGGTTCAATCATCTGTCTGAATCCTGCTCTACAAAGGATGCCTGGTAAGGGGTCATGCAACCTTTACTTCTTTCAATTACTGTGAATGGCAGTTGATCCAGTTTTCATAACCTCTGAGCTAACCTGGCACTGGGTAGTGGTTAGCTCTGTACAGCATGTTTGAAAATGTGTCTTGAGTACTACCATGGGCTGATGAGTTGGAGCTTTGAATATTGGTTTCTGGAATTTTAGGAAGGCAGCAGTAGGTCCTAGTGCCTTTCAGGCATCTGATTTCTCAACTTATGTATGTCTCTGTCCATTTGTAGCTTCCCATGGATTATTATTTCAGAGATTTTTTTTTTAATGTGGAAGGAGAAGATTTTAATTCATTTGTTGAGGGTCTACTATATGAGGACACAGTTGTGGGAGCTGAGGGAGATACAAAATTTGGATAAGACTTAGTTCCTATCCTCTATCTAATCCCACAGACAAATCACCTGTCTTCCTGAAGCTTCCCCATAGGAGGGGAATGTACATGTCAATAATTATAATACAAATAATACAAGCTAAGTGCATTAGAAAGAAGTATTCTGTGATGTTTCAAAGGGTAGGAAAGGTTGCTACAGACAAGGGAGAATCTGAGAAGGCTGCTCAGAGAAGAAGACATTTAATTTGGGCTTTAGAGCCTGGTTAGGAGTTTGTCAAATGAAATAGTACATTTCCCAGCAACCTTATGAGATCAAATTGGAAAAATACCTCAGGAATAGTGGAACAATGGCCCGGGGCAAAGAGTAGCCCAGGTAGGCTGAAGCAGAAATTTCACAGCAAGAAATAGTATGAGATGAAGCTGGAAAGGTAGGGTGGAAAATGATCCCTGTCCTAAAGGAGATTATTTTTGACTGGGGATATAACATATAAACATGTAAAAAGTAAATACGAGATAATTTGAGGAGGATGCCAAACAACGAGGAAGATCAGGAAAGGTTTCATGTAAGGAGGTGCTTCCTGAGGAAGCTAAGGAAGCTTTGGAGGAAGCTAAGGATTCTAAGACGTGCAAATGAGAGCCTCGAATGCCAAGTAAAGAAAAGAGTTTGGACTTCTTTTATCCTGTAGGCAATAGAGAGCCAGCTACTGAAGATTTTTGAGTATAGACATGAAGATGGACATGATCATATCTATACATAAGAAAGATTCTTCTACCAATGAGGGAGGAAAAAAGAACTGTTTAGAAGTCATTATAATAATCCAGGGAGCTTGTAACAAGGACCTATACTAGGTGGTAGCAGTGGCAATAGAGAGGAGGGCATAAATGCTGGAGACATTATAGCGGTGGAATCTACAGGTTGTTGCCCTCACCTTGTCTTTTCATGAGTTTGATCAGTCAAATTGTCAGATACTTTAAAGATATCCTATAATAACCAACCAAAATGAACCTACTTTTGGGGTTTTTTTAGTGTTTTTTTCTTACATGTAGACAGCTTTTTAAGTCTGTAGTTCTTATTACTTGGTAATAAGCAGGAATCTGAACCTTATGAACCTTCATCATAAGAGAAGCCAAAAAACTAGCTGAGGGGGAAAAGTGGTGGATAAAGTTAGAGTAATTTAGAAGATCCTGCTGCATTCAAAATGATTATAAATACAACAGATCTAAAGTCAACCTTTTCCTAGTCTCCTGTAACAGGTTCTGTCTTCCCACTTCTTTCTCAATGATACCATTGAGTGATACCACTGATTCCATATTATTCCCATTATTTCTCCCTTGGGGTGTTTTTTTTGGGGGGGGGAAGAGGTTCATTGTTTTATGCCAAATGCTTTGCAATGTGTTGTATTTGTGTCTTGAATAGTCAGTGAAGAGTATTCTACTGGTAGGGCTCAGACCATGATTTATATAATTGATTACCTCCAGATAACCCACACTGTAAATGGGACTCCAAGCCATAGTTTTCATGGACGACTTCAGAGGACATTTGTTACATTTAAACCCATTTAGTGCAGACATTTTGTGCCACTTTATTTAGTTCTAGGTTATCTTTGGTCATGTTTGCTGACTATTTCCTCAGTAGTAGTCTTGCTTTCCCAACTTCATAAACTGAAAGCAGAGATTATGTCTTCTTTCTCATGGATTACTCAAAGAGCTTTCACAGTACTGGACACATGGTCTTCAACCACTGTGACATAAGAAAATGTTTTCTCAGGAGATGATTTTTCTTGATAGTATTAATAAGCAAAATTATTCTTTTCCTTTTCCAACTGGTTGAATAAAGTTTTTTTTAAATGATGCTTTTGTTTTTTTCTTTTTCAATAACCACCTAGAGCAGGGGTGGGGAACCTTTGGTCTCAGGGCCACGTGTGGCCTTCTAGGTCCTTGAGTATGGCCTTTTGACTGAGTCCAAGTTTTACAGAACAAATTCTTTTATTAAGGGTATTTGTTCTGTGAAGTTTGCATTCAGTCAAAGAACCCTCGCTCTAGGTCCTAGAGCCTTCTTTGTTCAGTGACCCTGACCAACAAAGCCACTTTGTGTGATAGAGTATGCAACACTGACTTATCTTAAACTCCATGGTGTGGGTCTTTCCCACAATTTGCCCTGTCTTCCAATTCACAATTTCCCTGCCCTTAAATTCTGTCTCACCAAACCTTCACTGAACCATGCCTGTCCCCTCCTGCACAGGTCCTAACTTTCTAACCCATAATAATAGCAATAACAACACTAAATAAGCTGCCATTTCTATGGTGCTTTATGGTTTTGTAACTGAATAAGACCCTTCTCTGTAACATCCTTTACAGTGGTAGTCTGGCCTCTCCTAGCAGGCTCCCAGTGAATTAGAAGGCACTACCTCCTGAGGCAAGCCACTTTGGGACAGCTTTAAGTGATAGGAAGATTTTCCTTTTATCAGGCCTAAATCTGTCTCTTTCACCTTCTAGTTCTCTCTCTGGACAGGCAGAATAGGTCTAACCTCTTTTCCATTTAACAAGACTATTTTTAAAACATAGATTTTGTTAATCTTTTGTTTTTACATTACCTAGATTTCCCTTGTATCCTTTCTTCCCTTTGAGAGTCATCCCTTATAACAAAGAATTTTTTTTTATACTGGAAGAAAAATAATTCTCCAAAATTGATCAATATATTTTTACAAATCTGACTACATGCAACGTATCCCATCTGTGGACCTCCCACCTCTTCAGAGGAGTAAGAGGAATTGTCTTCTCGAATTTCTTCTTTGAGACCAAGCTTTTGTTCTTTCTAGTTTTGCAGCATTCACTTTTGATTGTTTTGTAGTGGTTATTTCCATTTCTATTGTTGTCATTATGTATGTTGTTTTTCTGGTTCTGTTTATTTTGCTTATTTGTTCAGTATTCATATTTGTCATTTCTTACAGCACAGTAGTATTCCATTACATTCATGCACCACAGTGTTTTTTTTAGCCACTCACTCACTGATGAGCATTCACTTTGTTTACAATTCTTCACTAGCATGAAAGATTCCACTATAAATATTTGGTGTATGTGGGGATTTTCATTTGACAGACTTTGATACTTTTTTTTTAAAAAAATTTTAAAAAATTCTCCTACGTCTATTCTCCAGGCTTAACATCCTCAGGGCCTCTTCAAGTGATTCTCAGATTATATGGTTTCTAGTTCCTTCACCATCCTGGTAACCCTCTTCTAGTCACAGTTTGGTTTAATGTCCTAGAAGTGAACGTAGTATTCCACTATGATCTGATTTGGGAAAGGTGGGAGAGGAAAGTGTTTATCTCTAGCGTGTTTAACCCAGTGGACACACCTATTTTGCTTAGACAAGTTCTTCTGTCCCTTGTAGACCAACCTACCACAACTCCTCTGGTTACTATGTTTTTCAGCAACAGACAAGAAGAGAACCCTGGCGATCCATAGTAACAGGGAGCCAACACACCGCCCAATCTCGGGCTTGGCTCAGAGCTTCTATTGGGGTTAAGGATCAGTCAGGATACAGGTGAAAACTCTTGAAGAAAAGTGCAAGATTGGTCTTTCTCTTTAAAGTTGTGGGGAAATCATCTCTCTAGGCCCTCAAGTGAAGTAGAAAGGGTAGATATGCTTTGGCTATATCAATGAGAGCTCAGCATTGGGCTGGGGAAAGAGCAATGATTTGGTGGCCGAGGACCTGGGTTCAAATCCTGAATTTGCTACTTAAGTATCTGTATTAGTGTTGGGCTTGGAGTCAGGAAGACCTGGGTTCAAATTTCGCCTCAGATTCTAGCTACATGACCCTGGGCAAGTCACTTGACCTCTGCCCCAGTTTCCTCATCTGTAAAATGAGCTGGAGAAGGAAATGGCAAACCACTCCAGTATTTTTGCCAAGGAAACCCATGGACAGTATCGGCATGATATTGAGTGCGGGGTCACTGAACAACAACCACCTTTAACCTCTGAGCTTCTGTAAACTAAGGGGATTGGGCTAAGTGATCTCTGGGGTCCCCTCCAGCTCTAAACGTGTGTCCATCTGTCATCTGTGGAGTGACTGAGAAGCCTTCCCCAGGCGCCTTCATTGCTTCCTATTTACTGTCTCCATTCATTCCTTCCCGCGGTGGGGGTCCTAGGGGGTCCTGTTCCTTCTGCAGAAGCCAGCTTAGCTCCGCCCCATCCAGCTGCTGCCGCGCTCCCATTGGCCGAAGCTTCAAGTTCGCACATGCTCTGAGGATCTTCAGAGCGAGCTTTCCGGCTGGCCGAGTCTCCATGACAACCCACCTAGCAACCAAATGCCGTTAACGTCGATGTGGGCAGGGGTAGCCAGGAGGATGAAGGTGGGCGCAGAGGCGAGGTAGGTCGCTGCTGCTGCTGCTGCTGAGCTTAGGGGATCTCCGGACCCCTCAGGGCCGGGCCAGAGTTGGGACAGAAGACCGAGGGTCCTCAGAGGGTCGGGTCAAAACCTGGGATTCCAGGACTGGGAGCAAATTCAGAGCTGAGGAGGGGACAGACAGAGGCGGGGGCTGGCATTGTCTCTTGAGCCAGGGGACAGGAGTCAGGCAATGGCTGGGATTAGGGGTCCCTGAGACACTAGGGATAGAGAATTAGTCAGAGCTCTATTTGGGGCAGATCATAGTGTCCCAAGTGTATGGGGTCCCGAGGCCAGGTGATAGAGTTGAGGGCAGTCATTGCTGGGGAACACTGCCTAAGAAGAGGGGTAGGTGTATGTTTGCATCATAGGGGGTTATTTCCTTCCCAAGCTGGTCCCCATCCCTTCAGATGCGTGGTGGTCCTCCATTAGATCCTTGCTGCAGGCACCCTTTGGGGAAGAATCTAATTCCCTTCAACGTTGATACCTGGGACAATACTTTTTGCCCTATGCTGGTTGTGGCTCAGAAATGGATTTGGGGTTCAGTCAGTGAGCAGACGTAGGTCTCGACCTAGGGCCAGGGTCAGAGCTCAGACTCAGGCTGGGGACAGTGTTAAACTTCAGACTGGGACTACTAATGTTAAGATTCAGTCTGGGACATAATGTGCTATTGGGGCTCAGTTGATGGTATGGCCAGGGGTCATAGGATCATAGATGTGGAGCTGAAAAAGGCCTGAGAGGTCACCTAGTCCAAACCCCTCATGAAGGTCCACCCAGAGGAGGCAAGTGACTTTTCCTAGGAGACACAGGTAGTGAGGAACATTCAAATCTAGGATCTTTGACTCCCAAGTGCACCCCTCTTTTCACTGTACTGGGCTGCCTTTCCATCTGGGGCCAGGTCTGGGAATCAGTCTGAGCTTAGGAGTTAGAGGAAATGTAGGCTGCCCTTGGAGTGGAGATAGTGCCAACTTGAGGTCCAACCCCCATAGCTCTCTTTAGGAGGAGTGAGCCAGACTTTGAGGTTGCTAGTCAGGAAAGGGAATTTTCAGCAACAAGGGAGTTCAGTGGGGCTTCATATACCGAAGCAGCACTCAAAATCACTGTTCTCTCACTTCTAATGTCTCTCAGTAGGTTGACAAGTTGAATACTTTTGTAGATAGAGGGCTGGATTTGGACTCAGGAAGTCCTAGGTTTGAATCCTGTCTCAGACACTTGCTAGCCGTGTGACTCTGGGCGAGTCACTTACCCTCTCTCAGCCTGTTTCCTCATCTGTAAAATAGAACTAATAATAGCACCTCCCAAGGTTGTGGAGAGCAAAAGGGTTAACGTATGTAAGCACTACATAAATTTTGGCTATTATGTTTTTTAAGTTGGCCATAGAGCTAGAATCTGTATCAACGAACCAGGCAGAGGAGTTGAGTCAGCTGTCCCTCTCTTCTGGGCCTCAGCAACAGCAAGTGGCTACAATGATGGTTGTCCTCAGAGTGGGTAACAGCTTTGATTTCAGTTGATAATAAAAGTACCTGCCACCAGGGATTCATTGATGGTGATTGCTCCTAGGCAATATCATTGAAGGCGATGGAATCCTTAGCAGGGCCCTGGATGCCTTCACTCAAGTACTGCAGTGTGAACACAGCCCAGAAGAGTCCCTGCTGTGTCAATGCCTCTGCTCCCGGGAACGCCCTCTCCGCCTGTCCTCTTGTACTCCAGGTTCCCTGTTTTATCAGACATCACTCCGCTGCAAGGTACCATCCTCTTAAAGCAATGGTAGGAGTCTCTGCTCCTGGCTGAGGGTCCTGTATGACAATAAGCACATTTAAATAGAGCACTTCACAGTTTACAAAGTGCTTTCATTCACAACAAACCTCTGAGGGAGAGAGTACAATTCCTATTACTATCTCAATTTTACAAGGAGCAAACAGGTCCAGACATGTGAGTTGTGCCTCAGTTTCCTCATCTGCAAAATGACCTGGAGAAGGAAATAGCAAACCACTCCAGTATCTCTGCCGAGAAAACCCCAAATGGAATCAGAGTTGGACGTGACTGAAAAATGGGGTCTTATTTCTCCTCCCGTTTCTCTCCCTCCGAGGAGTCCCTAGGATCCCAATTCTTTTCTTTTTGTTTTAGTTCATCATTTTACAATGTGAGGGGATCCTGGGAAATTTGAAATACTCATCTTAGCTTGCACAGTTTCACATGCAAATCAGGCTTTTATGGTTTGTGACTCCCCTTCCTAGTCCACCCTTCCATCCACTCTGCAGGTCAAGACCAGAGTTATTTTTCTTAGCTCTTTGAATTATTTAAGAAGCAAGGTTCTTTCTCTCTGAGATTCTTAAGACTGTCCCTCAGCCATAGATTGAACTGCTCACCTCAGAGCTATATGAATCCTAGCCCAGAGACTTCTTTGACCCATGACTGTAAAATTTTCCTTAACTAGCCTGTAATTTTCCTGTACTAACATATTACTGACCATCCTCTAAAGCATTATTATACTTTCTGAATGCACCTTTTCTCTAAAGAAAACCCTAAAGTTTCTTCATAATTGCACTGTGTCAACACCATCATCCATTAAATCCGCTTCTTTCGTATTGGATCCACACACCACGGTTGAAAGAATTGCCTTTCCCTGACACTTGCTCTCTGACTTTTTACTTCCTCTTAGTGCTAAATCTTAAATATGTCTAAAACCCAATTACACTTTATTAGTTATACCTAAGTCAGACAGAGGCTACTTTCAGTAGGATTTTTTCACATGGGTGTTGACATGAGATCACTCCTGCATATTTGTGTATGTAGACATCTATGTATACATTGTTGCTGTGACTTTATTCTTTCAATGTGTTCTTGGCATGTCTGAAGTCTGATTTTTCTCTGCCCTTCCAATCACAGTTGCTTTTTCCTAGGTGTGCCTGGGGTCGGCCAGATCTGTACAGGACTGACCTACAAGGGAAGGGGGCCAGACTGGAGTATGGCGACACATCAGTCCTTGCCAGGAGGGAATCAGATGGCTTTTACTACAGGGCTCAAATAAAACAAACACCAGAGGCAAGTCCCCATAGCCTCCCAAGGCCTCTTCAGAGCTTCTGCTTAGCTGCCACAGAAAATAGTAATGAAATGGACTAGAACAGTATTAAGTACCCTATTTGCTCAGCTATTAGTAGAAGCTGGCTACCTCTCAGGTTTAAGAGTGAAGATGTCGGGGGCAGCTAGGTGGTGCAGTGGATAGAGCATCAGCCCTGGAGTCAGGAGGACCTGAGTTCAAATGTGGCCTTAGACACTTGACACTAGCTGTGTGACCCTGGGCAAGTCACTTAACCCCATTGTCTAGCAAAAAACAAAACAAACCAAAAAAAAGTGAAGATGTCAGTGGTCATACCTTGAACTTGGAATATTGGTCTTGAAAAGTACACTACTCAGAAACATGTAATGGTGGGCCTATCCCATGGAAAGAGGAACTCATAGTAATGCTATGATGCATACAGATGCATAGGGCCTTATATTCGTTTTCTTCTTTAATCTTCAGATTAATTTGGTAAGGGAACAGAGGGAGGGTGGGGGTATGCCCATTTTACAGATTAGGAAATGGAGGCTCACAAAGGGAAAAAAGACTTATCCAAGGCCACACAACTAGTGAATTACTGGGGGCAGGACTCATACCCAGGACTTCACATTCCTAATTCACAATCCTCTCCATTATACTATTATACTATCCATACACAAAAACACTCATAAAGGCAAATTCCATCACAGGGAGCCAAGGTACTCTACATGAACATGAAGAATGGTTTGTTTTGTTTTTTCTCCAAGATGATCAAATCCTGAATACTAGTTTAGATTAATGAGAATAAACTTGTTCTAAAATAAAAAAGTTTGAATTATAAGTTATTTTAAAGTAGAATGTAGTTTTATTATTCTCTAAAAATGAATATTTAGCAGTCATTATAATGCTAATGAAGCAGTTTCAGATCTTCTGATCATTAGATAAGTCTCCTTTTTAAACTAGCACAAGACCTTTCACATGTTTTTCTATATTTTTTATTGATATATTTTGTTTTAACAAAGGCTAATATCAATTTACAAACAAATCACAAAATATACATCACCCCCCTAGAAGCATTTAAGTAAAAAAGCACAAGAGTAATTGTTGTCTCAGCACCCCACACTTCTTTAATTTACTGTTTGATGAAGTGTGCAACCTTCCATTTTTAAGTTAAACAAGGAAGGACCAGCAACATTTATTGTATTTCTTTTGTGTTTTGTAGACAGTTCATGTTGTAGTCAGGGGAATATTGTTTGTTTGGATCGACTCTCTTCACCCTGCATCACTTCATACAAAGCTTCCCATATTTCTTTGACTTTTTGACATTTGACAGTTTTTAGGGCGCAATGAAGTTCCATTACCACTACATTACCACTATCTAGTCAGCCACTCAGCATTCACTGAGCACATTGTTAATTTACAACTTTTTGCTATTGCAAATAAATACAGAGATTTGCCTAGGCAACACCTTCATTCTACATATGAGGAAACTGACACCCAGTGACACAAGCAGCTGGCTCAGATTCACCCACGGGAGGGTCCTCCAGCACTCTTTTCCCATAGCCACTCACATTGAAATGGCATTTTATGGCTTCTAAAGCACTTTCTTCATAACCACTCTATGAGGTAGGTAATTCAACTCAAATTGTCCCCATTTTACATAGAGCAAAACTGAGACTCAGAGAAATAGTGATGAATCTGAGCTGGTGCCAAGCTCCCCGAGTCCCTGTGACCCAGAAGTCCTTGGTCCCTAGGGCAGAATACTGACTGTGTGTCCAGGCATGTCCTAGGCGTGTGTGTTTGGGGGTGGCGGTAGGCAGATAGCTCCATGCAGGGGCCTGAATGGCTTGTGTGTGTCGAGGGGAGAGGCAGGAGACATTGGATGCTACTGGTTGTCTTGAATCACAGGTTGGAGAAAAGAGTGAAGAAGCTAGAGAGGAGAGGAAGAGGATAGACAGAGGATAGACCCACGACTGCAGGGTCCCGAGGCTGTTTCTTCTGCTAGGTTAGCTAAGTTCTGGACAGGACAGGAAGGTTTCTGCATGCCTTCCCTGGAAGCAGAGTCCCGGCCCTGGGCTCTGGGGCCTGTGGGATTCCTAGTACCATTTCTCATTTTGATTTCTCCCCTGCAGCTGGGGAGGCGGGGTAAACTCCTTGTGGAGTTTGAGGCCCCCCATTCCACAGATACAAAATCCTCAGGCCCACTACAGAGCACAACAACAGAGGATGTCATCCAGCACTCACGGGCCTTAGAGCACTCCCTACTCCCTGGAGACAAGGTTCTGGCACCCTGGGAACCAAAGCAGGAGAGATATGGGCCAGGCACTGTGGTGCAAGGCCTGGAGACCAGAGATCCTCAGAGAGGTAAGGGGAGCAGCCTCCCTCCTATCACTAGGACAACAGGGATGAAAAGGAGGAGACCTGGGTGATCTGGCCCGAGAAGAGCAAAGAAACAGGAGTGCACGAATGCACACCCCCTCCATATATATGTGTGTATATATGTGTGTGTGTGTGTATACAAATGCACATACATACACATACATATATACATACATACGCGCGCGTGCACGTGTGTGTGTGTGTGTGTGTATCTGTGTGTATACACACTCCTAAAGCTCTACCCCCCTTGCTCTTGAGGTCCTTGGCTATATGACCTTTAATGTCTATGGTATAGACTATATTTATCATTTGGTACCAAAATGTAGCAAAGTATGTATTTTCAGACAAAAATTATCTAAAATTATGTCAGATAAGCTAGCCTTTTTGCCTTGATGTAGTTATATTGGGGTCACTCAGTAATCATGGCAGTCATCCCATGCATCAAATAACCACAGCCCTTACAATTCAGGGTAGGAGGATAGTATGGGTCTTGTTCCTTAGTAAGATGCATTATGGTTTTGAAATTTTAAAAGGGATATGTCCAGACCATCTACCCATCTAGGAAATATGGAAATTTATGTTATAGGAATGGAAACAGAATGTCCCCAGGGAGGGAGTGCTAGACAGAGCAATGCCTTGTGGGAAAAGTGTTGGGTAGTGAAATGAATTGGGATTGTACCTCTGGGAACCATGAGCCACCTCCCTCCTTCCATTGGGGATGAAGTATATAATAGCACAGCTAACTGCACCTTTTTTTTTTTTTTTTTGGTCTGAGCAGCCTCAGAGGATGAAGAAATCACTGTCTGCTTTTGGAATGGCAAGATGGTCAAAGTGCCCTTAGGGGTAGCCATATGGATACCCCCAGCCTGTTGGGAGAAGGCTGTGGAGATGTTGCACAAGCCATTAGATAGCAGTTGGCCAAAGCCCGGAGAGCATCTTTGTACCATCCCCTGGACTCCCCGCTGTCCTCTCCTGGGATCTACCCTTGGGTATACTGTGGAGGGGCTTCTTCTGGGCTCTTTCTTGTGCCCGTCCCAGCATCTTTACCCCAAACCCCACAACCACTGTCCACTGTTGCCTAACGGCTGCCTCTGCTGTTGTTCCTTAGCCTGCTCTACCTGGTGGCCTCTCACCAGGACATTAGAGGACACAACTGGGGACCCCCTAGATGCAGACCCCAAAGCCACAGCACAACTTCTGGAGTTAGACAATCCCAGGGACAAAAAAGTGGCAGCTCACGTTTGCGTGGGTGTTACTTCTTCCTCTTCCTCCTCTTCTTCCTACTCTTTCTCTTCTGAAGAGGAGGATTTGGGGAGTGATCTGAAGAAAGCGCTTCCTCAAAGAATTATGGTAGACAGCACTGTCAACACTGACACCAGCCTTTTTGAGAAGCCCCTGAGACAGAAGGTCCTCAGTCAGCCACCCTGGAAATACTGGAAGAGAAATGGCCTAGAGCCCGGTCAAAGAAAGCCAGGTATGTTTAACTTCAGTCACCTGGGGGGCAGGGGCATGCTGGTAAATGTTTAACAATTGGATCTCCAAAAAAAAAAAAAATCGTACTCATTGTTTAACAACTTGCTTTCAGAAAAAAAAATAATACTCATGATGTACTTTTAAGTTTAGTCTGCATCTTTAAAGTTTTCCTCATCATTTTCTTAAGTCTATGCATTCAACAAAGCAATAAATCAAGCTCTGATCTGTAATATCTATTGATTCCCAAGGTGAGTATTTAATAGGCTCTCAGGAGCTGGTTTCAGCACACCTCTGCCTTGGGGGGAGGGGGCAGGCAGAAACAGGTGATTTTTCTTGTCAAAGTCAGTCCCTGACCCACTCTAGTGTGGCTATCTCATCAGAGTTGGACATAGGCAACCCTTTGGCATCAGGTTGGAAGTCCCTTGAGGGTGATCTTGAGGGAAGAAGGTGAAGACTAGGTATTTCTGCCCAATTTGAAAAAAATGGGATCCAAAATAAAAAAATCTGATGGGAAAAGAAGGAATGAACCTTTCCTGCTAGTCACCATCTTTGTTTTTCTTGATTGTAATTCTAGGTCTGTGTTGAGGCCACTCTCACAGTGGCTGATAGTAACAGCTGTCCTCACATTTGGTCACCGATGAGTTTTGGTATATTCAAAGAGCATTCAGTGAGGGTCGGGAAACATTTCAGAGTTGGAAACAAACCGTGCGCTGGGTTTTCTTGACCTTGTCATCATTCATTGAAATGCATAAATGGTTGCTGCCTTTTTGGGTGAAACCCACTAGTAGAGCCCAGCTAGAGGTTAGTTACAGCGGCCAAGACCCCATACAGGTTCTCAGCAAAAACTTGATTAAATGGATTCCTGGACTTATGTCTCTAAACTGGGGCCTGGGCTAATCAGAACCCGAAGGGAATGTCAATGAAAAGTCTTTACATTTACTTCATGATTAGGCTTATCTAGCTTACAAAACCTTTTTGTTTTATTGTATCCTCATGGTAACTCTGTGATGAGGAAACCCATCTAATGAAGGAGATGAGATTAGAACCCAGGCCTTCGGATTCCCAGTCCAGGGCTCTTCTGATGTACCAGGCTGTCTAAAAGACATCAATCACATGCTGTTTTCCATCTGGCCTATGGGAGGGTGAAGGACATGGAATTTGTGCTTTGAAAGAACCTAGGTCTTCCCATGGAACTTTCCCTTCCATTCTGCTTTTGGCCCTCTTGGGTTGGCAGGGAAGGACACTGTTAAATTCTCTCACTTTCCAGCCTCCCCAGCATGGCCCCATGTCCTGACTTTGCCAAAAGGTCCTGAGGGGATCCTGCCTGACCCACTGGCCCCTGGGTGGGGATTCTTGTGACACAGGAGTTCTCTTTCTCTACCTGGAGCGACTTACTCTGACTTCATGTTGTCCCTTTTTGGATCTTATGTGTTTCTTCAGGAAGTAGCTTCCTCAGCTGTGAGCAAGGACAAGAGGAACCGAGGTCCAGAACCATTTCTAGCTATCAAGGCTATTTATAGTATGTGAATTGTAGGTTGACTTTTTCTACCTTACATCTTAAGTAGCAGGGTCTATAAGAGCTAAGAATTATAATAGTTCTGCTGGATAAAGAATCCCTAGGCCTAGACCTTTTCATTGTCTGCATCACTAATAATGTAGACCCCACTTCCTGTATCACTAACCAATGGGAGTAGCCTGTTTGAGGCCATTGTCCCATCTCCATGGCAACTGCTTACAATGATGGGCCTCCTAGTCCGTGTAGACCTCGAACTGTTCCTAAGGGTAAGACCTCAGATTGAGGGCTAAAGGGGGTCACATGGACCTTGCCATCAGAAAAACAATGTCTTTAATAGGAATCTTTGACCATTCTGAGACAGGATGGCCTACCCTTACTTAAGGATTGGTGGAGACATATTAATCTGGTGGTGTGGTCTAGAAAGATGGGAGTCCTTTTAGTGTCCTCAGGACACTACAGGAAACCTGGGTTGGGTTTATCCATATGGATATAATATCATCTCCAACCCATGGGTACGGACACTAGAGGCTTAGGAACTTAACTGCTAAACCATCAACTTCCCCGTCAGGAGTAACTTACCATTGAAAAACCAAGAAAGCATCCAGACCCCTCTGAAATAGAATTAGTCCAATATCAAATTTGGCAAAAAAAAAAAAAAGTACAAACTAGTATTTTCTGAGATTTGTCTTCTTTCAGAATCAAATGAGTGATAGAGAAATTGACACCAGAAAACCTGGGGTTTTCGTGCTGATTTTCCCACAGATACATGGAAGAAACAAAAACACTAACTGCCCAACAGAGAGGGCATCTATGGGAAGACAAGTGAAATGGAGGGGCCTTGGTGGCAAGGGGTGTTGCAGGTACCTTTCTTCCTATGAGAGTACAGAACAGCTGCAACAGCTGCATAAGTCCTGTCACTAGGTGTAGACACAAATAAAGACCCCTGCTCCCACACCCCCACCACTTAACATCAGCTCTATGATTCACATCCTCTATCCAGCCTACAGAGTCTCCAATGTTGTGGACCATGGCAGCTTTGTACACAGGTTCACACAATCATTTGGTCCACACTCGCTTTTCCAATCTGAAAAGCATGCCTACTCTACTTAGCCCCCATTGATGTTGCTTCATCTCCCACTTAACTCTCGTTACTGATCATTCAGAAGTTCTCCCTCCCCCCAAGCTCCAGAAAATCCTAATCAGAAGATGTTAAGAGAAATATGAAGAGATCTTAAATTGCTATCAGACTTATTAACTGATTTATTTTGAGCTGCAGGCATATATGGCTAAACTGTAAGCATTTGAGTAACCGGCCATCTCTACTGGTATGCTTAGGGCCATGTCTTAGTGAGGAAGATTTATCTTGACTAGACCTTCTTAACCCTGGGGTCTGTGGATGATGGCAAGATCTCAGGGGGTCTTTGAGCTTGGATAGAAAAAAAAAAGTACATCTTTATTTTCACTAACTTCTAAAGGAAATTTAGTATTTCCTTCAGTTATGAACGTAGGCAGCAAAACAGATGGGGTCCATAGGCTTCATCAGACTGCCAGAGGTGGTGGGGATGAAGGAGGGCATGACACGCAAAAGGGATCAAGAACCCCCATGTAGACCATGCCTGAGCTGGAAGGAGGGGGGGCTGGTTCTGCTTCTGTGGCATGGAACGTATCATTGATAGGTTTACCAGGAAGAACAGAAAACAAGTGCTGAGTTTTTCTCTCCACAAGCTGATTTTAGGGAACCTGCTATTTAGAACCTTTGGAACATTTTGGAGGGGCACTGCACCTTCTGTAAATGCCTGCCACTTTATGGAATCTCAGAGTTGGAAAGTGTCACCAGAGGGCATTCAGTCTAGCCCATATGTGGATAGAAATCCTCTTCACAATATTCTTGGCAAGATAGTCTTCCAGACTCTGCTTGAAGATCTCCCAATAACAGGAAGCTCACTACCTGTAAGATCATTTATTTTAATTTTGGACAGCTCTCGTCATTAGGATGTCTTTCCTAACATCGAGCTAAAATCTGCCTATTGTTTCTGCAGGGCCCAAAGAGCAAACTGCTGTTCTAGCTTTCAAATACTGCAAGACAGGAATGGCATTCACTACCCCCACCCCACCCCTCCTCTAGGTTAATATCCCAGTTTCTTTAATCCTCCTATTAGTCCCACAACTGCTCATTATCCTTTAGACCTGTTCTGACTTGTTAATGATCCTCTGAAAAGGTGGAATCCAGAACTGAACAGAGTTTCTCAGGAGTGGTGTGACCAGGGCAGGACTGTCACTTCCCATGTCCTGGACCCTGTTGTTCCATTAATGTCACCTAAGAGCGAGCTTGTTTGCATGTCACAATGCAGAGTCATTCATGTTGCAGTTCATCATAGACCCCCCTCCCTATCTTTTTATGTGACCACTTCTTGCCATGTCTCTGCCATCTTGTACTCAGGCACTGGAACTCAAGGACAGGATTCTCTGTCTCTCTGTCTTTGTCTCTCTATTTCATGCCGCCTCTGACTGGTTGGGTGACCCTAGTGCTGTATGCAACTAAATTGCAAAGAAGGTGCCAACCTGCATTGGGAGGGAATGTTTCCTCATGTGGGAGTTTCACATGCCAATGAAATCACAGGCACGTCCCTACCCATATCCATATCCACACAGGGTTTTGGTCCCAAAAGTTTAGTGCAGTTTTAAATTTTAATATCTGAAAATATGTAACAGCTTAGTATGACTCCAGATGTAACACTTACATTATGCTTTAAGGTTGGCAAAGCACTGGTGATACATATATTCTCTCATTTGGATACATTATTTCATCGCCATAGGTTCTCCTTTCACTGATGTAAACCACACACCCTCTGTGACTTAATAGTAAAATTCTGAATAAATTCTATCCTCTTGGCTTCAGCTTGCTTTCCTAGCCCACTGGCTCTGTCATTCAATATGTTAGCTGTCTTTCCTAGCTTCATTTCATATGCGTATATCATTGGTGCCTTCATCGAAAACATTAGGCAGCTAGGATAGAGAGCTGGACTGGGAGCCAGGGAAACCTGGGTTCACACTGTACCTTGTACTTCCTAGCTGTGTGACTCCAGGCAAATCAGTTCACCTCTCTATGCCTATTTCCCTGCCTATAAAATGAGGATAACAGCAATGCCTACCTCGCAGGGATGTTGTGAAAATCAAATGGGACGACCCACGTAAAGTGCTTTGCAGACCTGAGAGTGCTATATAAATGAACGCTAGCTATTCATAAAGGTTGCCCAACTCTGCTTTTCCCGTTTGGGCCTCAAGAGCACCTCTCCTTTCTGCCACCCCTCTTTACGTTCATTCATGATTATGAATCACAGGCTCTTTGAGAGAGAAAACACTAGTTGTGAAGAGGTCTTACTCTGTCTCAGGTGGTTTGGGGTTTTATTTTGATGTATTCTCTCAAGTGTTACTTCTGTTCTCTTAGCTCCTAGAAATTTGCTTCTCCCTTTCCTATCACTTATTTTTGCCAAATGAGATAATAATGTGTTTAAGCATGATATGTCAGCTCTACTATTAGCTTAATTTGGCTTAGCAACTTTTTTTTTTGTCAGTGAGGCAATTGGGGTTAAGTGACTTGCCCAGGGTCACACAGCTAGTAAGTGTCAAGTGTCTGAGGTCACATTTGAACTCAGGTCCTCCTGACTCCAAGGGTGGAGCTCTACCCACTACGCCATCTAGCTGCCCCTGCTTAGCAACTTTTTTGGGGAACGTTCGCTGTCCCTGCTTCTCAGAGTGATCTACCTCAGAATCTACCAGCATAGATCAAGGGTCCTAGGCTTAGATCAGCTTGACTTCCCTTATTGGCAGTATGTAGAACAATATGGCTTATATTTGACCATCTCTTCTACACAAGCGCACAGAATAATGGCAGATGACTAATTCTGAAATTTTATTCCCTTTCAAAGGCAAAGAGTCACTGAGGAAACTTATAGACACTTGAGACTCAAGAGTTGTTCTAGCCAGGTCCTTTCCACTATCTGGAATAACTCCTTCAGTACCATGGCACAACCAATACTGACTCATTCTGGAGGATAGGAACAAGGTGTTGCTGCAGCTCTCTCCTGGGAGAGACAGAGAGGCAGCCGAAGGAGAAGCTGGACACATGCTGTAGAGGTGAAAGCTGGCAAGAAACAGGCCTGAAGCCAGAGCAGACCCTGGCGGGGGGGGGGGGGCTGAGCAGAAAGTATCAGGTCCAAGGCAGAGAACCACAGAGCATTTCTGCAGGAGCAGAGCCTTGAGGTTACCGGATGATGCAGAAGGGTCTAAACACCGTGCAGAGTCCTTATGGGATATCATTTCAAAGTAGGAAGACATCTATAAACTGTGCATGCAGAATCCTTTTCTAAAACCATAGCACGTCAGACATGGCAGCAACTTTAAATATTCAGTACAACCTGCTGATTTTAAAGAGGAGGAAACTGAGGCCAGAGAAGGGAAGAGGTTTGGGACCAAAATAAGCTGAGGTGCCAAGCAGGACCTTGAACCCAGGGCTGGAGTTCTTCCTGGTTTGCCAATCTGCCTATCTAGGTTCCCTCTCTGTATTAAAAGTTTTTCACATTTCAAGGGTTAGATTTCCTATAATATGGCTCTGTTTAAACTATAACTTCATTACAAGGAATATCAGCAATTTTTGCAAGGGAAGTTTTTGGGCTTTTTGTTTTTCAAATTCAAAATGGACTAAATTGCCAGGTATGGCACCTCAGTGAATCATTGGTATGGAAAGATGTTAGATGAAACGGAAATACTGTTAGGAACATTTTTTTCAATCTTGTAGAAGTACTAAGAGATAAATGTTATTGATCTAATAGCTAAAAAAAAAAAAAAAAAAGCTTTCCATAAAGCAAAAACGTAGGGCCAAGATCACAAGTGATACCAGCAATGACCACAGTTGTTGTTCACAAGGTGGGGTTCATTTCCTGCCTTGTGTTGTGAGAGTTCTCCTCTCACCTCAACAAATCTGGAAGAGGTCTCTGCAGCATTGCCTTTTACTCTCTGCAGGTGGTTTTGTGAAAGGGCATGGATGAGCTGCTTCAGAGTTTATGTATATGAAATGTTTCTGTCATAGTAGCCACAGGGTGTCTGTTTCGGGCAAGCGGGTCTCCAGTCTCACTTTTTATAAGTTGGCCCAGACTGCTTTGTAGGATGTTTATTTTACCCCCAATAAAAGTAATAAAATCTGAATGAAATCTCCTTACTTCCAAAATTTCTTTATTTCCATGATTAACTCCATAGGGAAAAAGAAAACAATCACAATTTTACAGTCAAATATCAAGGCACATTATTCTTCACATTCAGGCAGGGGAAAGCAAGAGATACATCCTACCTCTCCCCTTTCAGAGCATTTAGTTAAAACAGGCTTCAAGACAGACAGACCAGAGGTCCTAGGACATCTGACCGGCTTGATTGGCACTCCACATACATACTCTTCGTGCATAAATACTGACAAAGAGAACCACAGTGTGGTTTGGTTTAACACTCTTTGCTATTTAAAAAAAAAAAGTGCTGACCGGTGTTAAAGAGGGAAACTCAGATCGATGATTTCTCCTGAGTCAACCTCTATCATGTGTGTTGTGGTTACATTAGGGGACCCCACTGTGACAGTATAGGTGCCTGGACAAACTTCTATTGTGATGTCCTTTGAACTTGTTCCGGCCTGGAAAGAAAAGATGGATATTACTGGGTTAGAGCTTTGTGGTCCCTTTATCAAAATCACACTTTCCCTACCTGGCCTGTGGCCTCATCATCCCCTAAAATGACTTCTAGTTGCTGCTTCAATGTAAGAATACAATAAAAGTAGCGTGGGTTGTACATAGGAGGAGCTGCGCGTGCTGGAGTTAGGTGGTAGCTGGTGGAGGAGAAGATAGACACCAACATTTGTTTATGAGCTCAGATTTGTAATAGCAGGGAAGTGCTCTGGATGAGGGACCATCCTAATTAACAAGGCTCTAGTAAACCTGTGATAATGGCGGTGGTGGTGACGCGTTTCTCTGCTTCTAAAGCCAAGACACTCTGGGAACTGATTTCAATATAGTCATTAAAATGGCCTAAATTACTTGGCTAGGAAAAGCTGCTGGAAGCTTGGCTTTCTCTTTCAGTGCCAACCCACAGGAAGTAGGCGTTCATGGAAAGATTTGATTCAGGCTCCGCCGTGGCCACAGCTGATCAGTATGAGGATGTCCTAAAATTATGTGGCATTCAAACCGATTCAACAAATACTAATTAAGCACCTACTCTGTCTAAGGCCTTAAGGCCACATGTGGCCTTCTAAATCCTTAAGTGTGGCCTTTTGACTGAATCCAAATTTTACAGAACAAATTTTTGTTTTGTTTTGTTACAGAACAAATGTAAAATATAAATGTAAAGTGTTAAAGCAATATATAAATTTCAATGATTATGATTACATGCCTGCAGCAATAGGAGCATCTGCCATTGTAAAGGAAAGGTGGTATTTGTGATTTAATAAAGAACTACCAGCTTGAAAAAAGTAGACCATGAACCCTCTTGCTTTCAGCCCCTGATTGAGATGAACATTCTGAAGTCTATATACTTTGCTTCACATAGCTGACGTAGGACTGTTTGCATGTTCTGAACTATGGAAACAGAGACAGCTTTTGGAAAGCGTGCCTATGTTAGGCTTGCAGAATCCTGGAGGATAATCCAGGTGTGGTTGCTCTCCATTAATCTTGCACATGAGGAGAGGTTGCCTGGCAGCCAAGCTCCAGGTAACTCAGGGAATGACAGAAAGATCCACATGCCCACAGTTAATCAGTATCGGAACATCTGAGCCAAGAGCTTAAATTGGGAGTAGGAGTAAATAATAATCCTAACTCACATTTGTAAAGCAGTTTAGACTTCACTTAGCACCCACCTTCCTCAATACATTCTTGGACTTCTCATTTTTACTTTGCAGATAAGAAACCAAAACTTAGAGAAGTGACTTCTCCGAGGTCACACAGCTTAAGCTAAAACAAGAACCCAGGTCTCCCAAGACCGTTGCTCCTCCTCCTCCCACCACTACATGGTCTTGGTTATTAATACCAGTAATGTTCTGTACTGTGGCTCCTTGACAATCTGGGTACAAATATTTAAGGAAATTCTCATGGTAACAAATTCCAGTTACTCTTCAGAACTCTTCTGTGAATTTCTCCCCCAGACCCCTCCCCCAAATTGTTTCATACAGTTAATGAGCCACTTCATTTATCTTACGTGCCAAATAGCAGTGTCATTATCTATTGTGACAAGAAGATTTTGGAGGGAAGTGGCTGATGGCTTCTGGCCAACATTTTGTTTGGACCAGACCCCTGCAAAGCTCTGCTTTTTGGAATTCAAAAAGGGATTTTTAGTTTGGAAGCAAAAGGGCCAGCCCACTCCTGCTGACTTCACAGCTGGTGGAATTTCATTGGAATCTGGGGTTGGCACATCCTAACTGCAGGAATTGGGACTCGAATATCTCAAATTCTTTCCAACCACAGCTATGTGTTCAGGCACAAGGAACATCCTGTAGCATTAAATAAAGGGTGCCTGGGGTGGGCAAGAGTTAGTGACCCAAAATTAGAGAGCACCATTTTCCTTAATGTGCTGGAGTGTCCCAACTTAAGGCAGCTCTGTATCCTGTAATACCCAGAGGAATGGCTGGGTTCTAGCTCTGGGGAGGAAAGAACAGGATTTAGAGCTAGAACGCTGCTTAACCATCACTTAGTTTAGGGGCAGCTAGATGGCACAGTGGATTTCTAGAACATCGGCCCTGGAGTCGGGAGAACCCGAGTTCAAAACTGATCTCAGACCAGACACTTGACACTTACTAGCTGTGTGACTCTGGGCAAGTCACTTAACTCCAACTGCCTCACTAAAAAAACAAAAACAAAAAATCATCACATAGTTCAATTCACTTGTTTTACAGGGGAGGAAAGTGAGTCTCACAAAGGTTAAGGGACTTTCCCAAGGTTACAGAAGCAGAGGCAGGATTCAAACACAAGTCTTTCAATTCCAAACTCAGTGCTGTTTTTATGACATCACCATGTTAAAAAGGCTAAAGGTAGGAACTCACCATAGACTCGGATGATTCTGGGCCAAGACTGGATGACCCTGTGTCAAATCTGAATGGTCCTGGGTCAAACTTGGATGGTCCTGTGTCAAACCTGGATGGTCCTGGGTCAAACCTGGATGGTCCTGGGTCAA